CTTCCCAGTAAGGAAGGTTCCATCAACCTAATTAAATATTAGGAAGTAATTAGTATGAAATTTACTTGGTCTGCAAGAATAGAAACATTTCAAATAGTAAACATGTGTTAAAATACCTGAATAACCGGTATGCAGAACGCAAATCCGTCAATGCATGGTTTGAAAGCCCAAAAAAGACGCTGAAACATCACTTCTCCTTTACTCGTACTTGATCCTCAGTGTATACATTGTTGTATACTGGCACGAAAAAGGTCCCAGGGTTGGACTCCTCCATTGCGACCATAAGTCTAGGGAGTAAAGCATACGAATCCTCCCAATCACCATACACCTCAGCATGGCATTCTGCTTTCCATGCCATGCTTTTTTGTACCTTATCGTGTAAGAATGTCGATCCTTCACCTCGGCCATGATAGCTTTGACCTTGATATCTGGTTGTGCTTCAATAAGGTGTTTAATAGTTCTCCCAATTTTCTTTGCTTTAAGTTTCCTGTGATCCTGGGAACGTATGGACGAGGAGCAAGTGTGGTTGGTCTCAGCTTTTCGAATCACCCAGGCACCCTTTCTCTTCATATTTGCAGCCCGCAGTTGCCACGTACAGCCCTCTGCATCATTCTTGCATATGACATGTAATTGTTTACTGTCAGAATATTTTACCTTCCACTCAAAATTGCGCCTCAAGGCCTCTTTGGTAAAGGCATCCTGTACAGCGTCCTTCGATGAGAACGCCATACCCACCTCCAAATTGGTTGTCGGATTATACACTGGCGTAGGGACAAAGTCGGGGGCATCATTCTGACTATGTAAAAATTGAGTAGGAACCTGTGTGTAGTATGGCGTCGGTGCCTCACGAAATACCGCCTTGTCGTTGTTATCATCAGTATCTTCCTCCTCGCTCACTTATCTCAAATCTTCCTCAGTATCATCGTCGCTCGAGTCGAATGGATAGCTCGGCCCAGAAGGATCAACATGACCACCATCACCAACATCGTCTTCTCGCTCATGTGAAGTACACCCTGCTCGAATGGTATTCTCGATTTCAGCCCACTCAGGCCCCCAAGCAGGCCATTGAACGCCATCGGCAGGTTGATCCTGTTGCGAGTATTCTTCCGATGGCACCCATCCTACACTACTACCTCCACCGTAGTTGATTAAACTACCACCCTCTCCGTAACCTCCTGTATAACCACCTCCTTCGTAGTTGCTCGAACTACCACCGAATCCGTACCCTCCTGCAAAACCATCATCATAAGAATACTGGTGAGAATGAGTTTCACCGACCGCCTCAGTCTCAACATACACCTCTGCTTGCCGCATCCCGTTATCGCTTAGGAACTGTAACATCATCGTAACCGCGTCATCATCGTTTATGACAACTTCTTGGTACACAAGCCCGCCAGTACTGATACATGGATACCGGTAAGTAATTTTACCAAGTCTCGTATGTCCGCTCGTACAACCCCTGTCTGCACAAATATCACAGAGTTCTTGAAAATTGAATCGCGACTCAATTTTCAGCTTAGTGGATACACCGTCCTCATAATCAATCCCTATGTCAGAGTTTGTAATTCTTCCATTCCACTGAATAATAAGCTGAAACTTCTTGAATTTACCCATATCTAAAATTTACAATAAGTAACTATTAGCATAATTCCATTAATTCATAACATCGGCCATATTTGCTACGATAAGTAATTCATAACATAACAATATAACTACTAAAAACAACCATTAGGAATTAATACGAAAATTAAATCATACCGAAACTTCATGTTCTGTGTATGTTGCTCGATTTTGGCTACTGAAATTTGAAGAGGGGGGAGGGATTACGTTTTTAGAACTGCAGGTGGGAGTGGTATTTAAAGGAAAACCGGACAGTTTTCACCGCCTTTGTCTCAAATGGTGAACAACATCACCGCTTTTGTCTCAAACGGTGAACATTAGGTAGTTGTGACCTAATTTTCACCTACCAGGTTAGGTAAACGTGGGAAATAATCACCGCCTTAGCCTAAGGCAGTGAATATGTTCCCCGCTTTGCCCTAAGACGGTGACGTTTTCACCGCTTTGTACAAAGACAGTGAACACGTCACCGTTTTATTTTAAAACGGTGATATGTTCACCGTGTTTGACAAAAGCGGTGATTATATTCACTGTGTTTGTCAAAAATGGTGAATGCCAAACTTGTGTAGTTTTGGACATTTTTTTATAACTTATGTATTTTGAGAATTTTTTTAAGAACTAGTGTACTTTGGGATTTTTCCCCCAATACTATATAGTATTATAAAATTCCTCCACTATAAGGTTACTCACCCAATCTGCTACCACGCCGTCACTAAGCAGAGAACAGCCTAGTTATTCTGCTAACTTGAAGATTCGTTAGTATATACTAACTAATATCCAAAATGTATGAACTAATATCCAAGTCTGCTGAGTATCTAGATAGCGCAGACTAGTATTCAAAACATCACAAACTAGTATCCAGATAGCAGATACCAACTAATATCCACAATCAACCAACTAGTATTCAATAGGGATACTCTTATGTGTTATCTGGATACTAATTATGTGCTGTATGGATACTATTCTGTGTTGTCTAGATATTAGTTTGTGAATTTGGGATAATAGTTTATTCATGGTGGATATCAGTTAGCAAACTTTGAATATTAGTCTGTGCTCTCTAGATATTTTAGTACTTGGATACTAGTTCATGTATTTTGGATATCAGTTAGTATCTGCTAACGAATCTTCAAATTAGCAGATTAACTTTCCTCCGCGTAGAGAGATTAGGCCATTGCATCTTAGAAGAAGTTAGAGAGTTTAAGTGGAAACCATTGAGATTATCCCCTGGAGGGCCTCCCCTTTCCCACCTTTTCTTCGCTAATGATCTGGTTCTCTTTGCTGAACCTTCCTTGAAACAAGCAGATGTCATTAATAGATGTGTTGAGAGTTTCTGCTTGGCTTCAGGAGAGCTTGTAAGCAAGGAGAAGTCCAGGATTTTCTTCTCCAAGAATACTAAGGATAGGGACAAGAAGAATGTGTGTCATAGGCTTGGAATTCAGTCAACTTTAGACTTAGGAAGGTACCTTGGTGTTCCTGTCATTCATGGGAGGATTACTAGGAACACGTATAGGTACATAATTGACAAAATTGACTAGAAACTCACCTCGTGGAAAGCTAGAACCTTGTCGTTAGCTGGGAGAGTGACCCTTGCACTCTCAGTTCTTAATGCCATCCCTTATTACGCTATGCAAACCACTCTGCTTCCTGCCTCTGTTTGTGAATTGATTGATAAAAAGATTAGATGTTTTGTTTTGGGGATCCAATGAGGAGAAAAAGAAAGTGCATTTGGTTTCTTGGGATAAAGTGTGTCAACCTAAGAACCAAGGGGGACTTGGCTTAAGAACTGCTAGAAGTTTGAACATGGCTTTCATGATCAAGCTTGCATGGCAAATTCTTAATAATGGTTCTGATCTTTGGGTGCAGGTGATGCAAGGAAAATACTTCAAACATGTTGATGGGCAGATCGTGGCTATGAAAAGAAGCAATCATTCTGCTTTGTGGAAAGCGATTGTGAAGGCAATGCCCCTCATGAGGAGTGCCACCTGCTGGAACATTAGGAATGGAAGGACAACAAGCTTCTGGAATCACCCGTGGCTGGACCATGACATCACGCTGAGAGACCATATTCTGCAGACTGCTGACTTGCAGCAGGAAGATAGTTCAGTTGCGGAGTGGACTGATGACAATGAAGAATGGAACTGGCAGAAGCTCCATGAATGCCTCCCCCAGAACATTATCTCCCTGATTGCTGGTATGGAACCACCTAAAAGCAACCTGGGAGAGGACAAGAGCATATGGGGTTTGGAAAGGGATGGAAGGTTTAGGTTGAAGTCAGCATATAGCCTTGCAGCGGACCAAACCAATTCTGAAGGTGAGTCAATGTGGAAGAAACTCTGGAAATGGAAAGGGCCAAGCCGCACCAAACATTTTCTCTGGCTTGTGATGCATGACAGGCCACTTACCAACAAGGAAAGAGTCAAGAGGAAGATGACTACTGATGGAAACTGCAGCCACTGCAAAGATGTGGAAGAGACTACAGAGCACAATCTGAGGAAATGCAGCAAAACAACAGCCATCTGGGAAAAATTCATGTGCAAAGTCACTAATAAAGAAAGCAATCTGCCCTTTAAGGAGTGGATGTCTGCCAATTTAAGTGATGATACCCATGGCGTCGATTTTGGACGTATTGTGTGGCAACTTTGGAAACAAAGGAATGAAGAGTGTATGGATGGGAAGGCTTATGTGGAAAAGTCCCTCATCTGCAGAATTGAGGCTTGGTTCAGCATTTACAAAATGGCACTGCACAATGTTGAGCGAAGCTTCAAACCGCCTGTTGAAAGAAGAGAAGAGGAAATCGGTTGGAGGCCTCCTCCTGAGGGATGGGTACAGGCTCAGACTGATGGCTCTGTCCTCTCTCCCTTAGGGTCTACAGCAGCTGGAGGTCTCCTTCGTGATAGCCTTGGAAGATGTAGCTCTGCCTTTGCCTGCAATCTGGGGAAGTGTTCGATTACTGCTGCTGAGCTGAAAGGGGCGATTGTTGGTTTGCAGTTGACTTGGGAGAGGGGTTTTCGAAAAGTGCAGCTTAAGTTGGACTCAACTACTGCCATTGCTATCATTAGGGATCGTTCTGATGATGATCACCGACACGGAATTCTGGCTAAACATGTGAACAACCTTTTGGATCGTGACTGGGACGTCTCTATTTCACATGTGTATAGGGAAGGAAATCGCACTGCAGATTTTCTGGCTAACTTAGGCCATAGTCTCACTTTTGGAACACATCATGTTGATGTGTGGTGTTCAGATCTTTGTAGATGGCTTGACTATGATGTTATGAGAATTTCCCAAACTCGGATTATTAATACATGATTCAAGGCGCTTTTGTGCCTGCCTTCTTACCGAAAAAAAAGAGAAGGAAAGGGAAGTTGTCTCTCCTCTTGCTTCTCTTTTGAATTTTGCCTCTTCGAATTTTTTATTTTTATTTTCACCGGGATATACGCATGATTACGATACAGAAGAAGAGTCTCTAGAAAAAGCAAGCTCGACGACAATGGCGGCCTCTAACTAGTTAGAGTTACCTACCTCCTCCTGAACTTACGTTCCCCACCAACCACAAAGTCTCGCTTTTCCTTCTTCCTTCATTCCTTACAGAGGCCCGTACAATCCTCCGATGGCTTCTATTACTCCTCATTCCGCTTCTTTCCAGACCCATCGCGGACGCCGCCGCCGTCTGCATTCCTCGTCGCTTCTTAATTCGTCGTTGTCGCCACGCAGCGTTTCACAGCTTGACTTCCGCCGCCTATCAAGTCCTCCCCCGGCGCCGCGAGCTTTGGCGGCGGCGGCTTTGATCGACGACAGGGAGGGAAACAGAGGACGGAGTAGGCATGGTGGCAAGTTTGCAACGGCGGCCACGAAGAGGAATGTGTTCAGCGAGGGAATAGTTAGCGGCGGCGGTGAGGAAGAAGGAGCGAATTCAAACTCCTTCGAGGACGAACAGTTCGTGAGGTGGTTCCGGGAAGCTTGGCCTTATCTCTGGGCTCATCGGACCGGGACTTTTGTGGTTATTATCTCTGGTGAAATTGTGTCCAGTCCTTACTTAGATGCGATTCTCAAGGCAAGTTCGTTGCTTTAATATCTGGGTAGTCATTTTTGCTGCCCACCAGCTGATCGACGAATTGACCCTTTCAAACTCTCTCTTTCTTTTACTTTGTAATCAGTCATTGATGGGTTTTACGCATCTCCTTTTTGCAGGACATAGCATTTCTTCATCACCTGGGAATTAGGTTCGTGATCGTTCCAGGGACGCATGTTCAAATTGATAATCTGTTGGCTGAGAGAGGTAACTTGTTGGTGTTGCTCCTGTCTTGTCAAGCTCTTGTGCATCTTCCGCAGTCCCACTCGATGGCAATTTATGAGGTACGATTGCTTATTTGCAGGGCATGAGCCTAAGCATGTGGGGCCGTACAGAATTACTGACCCAGAAGCTCTGGCTGCATCAATGGAAGCGGCTGGCAAGATTCGGGTGATGATAGAGGCTAAACTTTCTCCTGGACCTTCCATATGTAATGTGCGCAGGCATGGTGACAGTAGCAGGTGGCATGACGTGGGAGTCAGTGTTGCTAGTGGGAACTTTCTCGCAGCCAAGGTACATTTTCAATGCAGAACAATTGGTACTTTGAGAGGATAAACCGCTAATTCTTTGTATTGCTTCCTTCTTTATTTGACCATTAGCACAATGGTCATGCCTTCATCTAAATTCTTTTATGATGTCCTTCTGTAGAGAAGAGGAGTTGTTGGAGGTGTTGATTTTGGGGCAACAGGTGAAGTGAAGAGAGTAGATGTTGACCGTATGGGTGAGAGGCTTGACAGTGGTTGCATTGTTGTGCTAAGCAACTTGGGCTATTCAAGCTCTGGTGAAGTTTTGAATTGCAAGTATGTTGAGCACCTCTTTTCTATATACTCTTGAATGATGAATCATTTCCACAACTCGGAATAGCTGTGCACGAAGTTCTCCGTTCAGTGAAATAGTTTGTCCAATATATGATATTTCTTGGGTATGCAATGATACTGCAACAATGATGTTTACCTAATCATATTGGGAACTGCTGTTTATCTTTCTTGACGTTTTCAGCACATACGAAGTTGCTACAGCTTGTGCCTTAGCAATTGGAGCAGACAAACTTATTTGCATAATGGATGGTCCTATTCTTGATGAGAATGGGCACCTCATTCGTTTCTTAACTCTCGAGGAAGCAGACACTTTGATTCGTGAACGGGCTAAGCAAAGTGAGGTAGCCGCTCATTATGTGAAGGCTGTTGCAGAAGAGGATCCTTCTTCTTCTGTCGAAGATACGGATTCCATTTCCATAGTTGCTTCCTCACAGAATGGGATAGCTGTCAACACGAAACACAATGCAGCATTTCATAATGGTGTTGGTTTTGACAACGGAGGTGGATTGTGGTCAGGAGAACAAGGTTTTGCCATTGGTGGTCAGGAAAGGCTCAGTCGATCGCACGGTTATCTCTCGGAATTGGCTGCTGCAGCTTTTGTTTGCAAAGTAAGTTGAAGATCTCTATGTTGATGTTTACTGGTGTCTGCTTTGTCTTTTGGGCTTACCTTGAATCCTAGTTTTTGCCAACCCAAGTGTGCTTGAAAGTGGATACCATAGCAACCTTCGTTTCTCCTATGCTGCTTTCATCTTTCGATATACAATTAGTAAATTTTAAAGACTCCTGATAGGTATTGTTCTTTTATGGAGTGGCAATTTATTAGGAACAGTAACACTATTTTTTTTGGGAATTTGTCCCACAATGATGTCTTTTAATTCAAACCTAAATTTATTTTTTGTTCGTACTAGTGAACCTAGCACGGTGCTGTGCAAAGTAGGTTGAATTTTCAGTCCACAAAATCTATTGTTGTATTAGTATTTCATGAAACAATGGAAGATCAAGTAAACTTACATTGTTGTATCAATTTTTTTTCTCTTTCTTCTGATGTAGAGTAAAACTCTTGCTTTATTTGCTTAGGTCATAAACTTGCATTTGCTATTTCAGACTTACTTATCAAATAGTTTTTATGATTGTTTCATCACAAAGCCTGCTCTGCTGTTCTAGTTATTTCAGAGTCCAGTTGTTCAATCTCAAGTGTCACACCCTCTGGCATATCTTCCTTTCAGGGTGGAGTCCAAAGAGTGCATCTACTAGATGGTACAATCGGTGGGGTTTTACTGTTAGAACTCTTCAAAAGAGATGGGATGGGAACTATGGTAGCTAGGTACGTGGCTGTCTACAACTCCATTCAAATCTCATATTCAGAAACACTACCGTTGGTTCTTTGTTTGCCTACTTGCTTATTGCATTTATAAATAGGTTAAAGCATAAATGTGGTAGACCAGGGAAATTATTATGTTATGCCACTTGATTGTTACACGTGGTTGTGTGATTAAACTTTTGTGTAGTGTTTAGTGATGCTTTCTTTGTGCTGAATCATTTATGCGCAATTGATGTCCCCTGTCACAGTGACCTATATGAAGGAACCCGAATGGCTAGGCCGAATGACCTTGCTGGAATAAAGCAGATCATACAAACCTTTACAAGAAGCAGGAGTGTTGGTTCGAAGGACGGATGAAGAGGTTGTTTACTCCTGCGCTGCATTTTCATACTGTGTTGAACTGCTTGGATACTTGCTAGATAATGCCTTTTCACTTGATCCAGAACTCACTGCTTCAATTTATCTCTATTCAAACTGCGTTGAACAGCTGGATACTTGCTAGATAATGCCTTTTCACTTGATCCAGAACTCACTGCTTCACTTTATCTCTATTTCTGCTTTGCAGCTGCTTAAGTCGTTAGATTCGTATTATGTGGTGGAAAGAGAAGGTCAAATCATTGCTTGCGCTGCTCTTTTCCCTTTCTTTGAGGATAAATGTGCAGAGGTAGCAGCTATTGCAGTTTCTTCTGATTGTCGTGGGCAAGGGCAAGGAGACAAATTGTTAGGTATGTAGGTCCTTGTTCTGAAGTTTTTGCTTTGAAGCCATGAACTATTGTTCTAAATGGGACTGAACCGGACCATTGTTCTACAGATTATATGGAGAAGAAGGCATCCTCACTGGGTGTGGAAACGCTGTTCCTCCTGACTACCCGCACTGCAGATTGGTTTGTTATCCATGTCCTTTGTTAAGAAAATACACTGACAGTTGCCTGTCTTCTTTTGCTCGAACGAGTGTTGCCATTATTATCCCATGAATCCTGTGAATGGTTGGCTTTTATGTTTGTTTGCAGGTTCAAAAGACGGGGTTTCTCTGAATGTTCAATTGACCTGATTCCTGAACGAAGAAGGAAGAGGATTAATTTGTCTCGTAACTCAAAGTACTACATGAAGAAGTTGCTTCCTGATACAAGTGGGATAACGCTCACTGCCAGGCATTCAGCTGGCAATAAATAGCAATAGCCGATCCAAGTCGTGACTTAGTAGTTGTACAGAATATAGCTCCTGGCTGGTGTGTTGTAACGGATGCCCTTTGAGGCTCAAAGCTGTATTGGCATTTGGTCAGCGGCTTGACTTGAGAATCAGAAATTGAGCAAACACTCAAGCTAGGAGTTGTTTGTATTTATCCTATTGTATATTTTGTGCCAGAAGAAACGGAATAAAATATAAATGTAGCTGTGGAAGGTCGTCTTAATGGTTGGGGTCTACTGTTGCTTGGTGGTTTGGAGTGGATAATCGCTTTAGGGTCGTTTGCTTTTGGGATTTGGGTGATGGATTTGGAACCCAAATCCCAAGCATCATGGAGTTGACACAAATTTTGTTTGTTGAGGGACACAAATCGTGGGGTCCACGGATTTGGACCCCTTTTTTAGATCCAAATCCGTGGACCCCACGGATTTGTAAATCCCACATTTCATTTGGGATTTGACAATAGAAGGAAAAAATGTGAGACAAATCCATCACAAATACATGATAAAAAATCAACTAAACAAACAATGTACTCTTCCAAATCCATGATGCAACAAATCCATCATAAATCCAAAGGTTTTTAAAACTCAAAACCTTCATTTTCAAATCCAACAAGCAAACGAGCCCTTAGTCTTGTTCTTGTCAATTTCAATCGATGATGACTAGGAATAGGAAAATAAAAAATTTCACTTCGAATTTCGGACAGGAAGATCTATTCCTGTCTCCGCACACGAGGCTGATTAATTAGGTTAAGAAAAATATGAGGAACGGGCACTGATTGATTGGCTTTAGAAAAGGTCCGCGAACCGACTTTCAATTAGTTCTTTTGTAAAAACAAATTGTATGTGATCATCAATTACCTTACACGTTAGAATATTTTTATCCCACATTCATTCTTATTTCCAAAATACTATTGATACATTTTAACAATATGAAACAATTGAACCACGATTTTAGTACAAAATATCATATCACAGATTTTTCCGGTATAAACCTCCGGTGGTATGATTTTAAAATCCTTGGCTTATTGCGATACTTTTCTTCCCAAGAACATCTCAATACAGATGACCGAACTTGTACAAAGATTAGAATCAAGAATATAGAGGGCTAGTCGTTGCATTATTACTTTAACCAGACAAATCTGCAGCAAAATACAGTGTTGCCACCTGCTGAGAATCTTGCAGTGGGGGAAAAGGTAAAGACACTCAAATTTGTGCAACTTTTGTCCTACTAGGGAACCATGCCAGCGGCAGCTGATAACCAGAATTATTTTCCCTCAGCTTCTGGCAAGCCCTTGAACTTGAAGTTCTCAGCGTATGACTTCGGCTGGAAGTGAAAACAAAAAATCTCAAACAATGTTAAATCATGCAGTTTAATTTGAACGAGCCATTAGATGAAAGTATAAGAATGGTTTGTATATGATGTGAATCATTCATGCAAAGACTTGGTCTACAAGGTGGAAGACACTACTTAAAGTTCGCAATCACTTAAAAGGACTACAGCAAATGAGAGATACAGGTTCTATATACTTGATTAACATCACACCTGAATCGGTTAGGAATACAAGTGTCTTCTAGAAAGTATCAGAACCCCAGGAATAGAAGAGGCTTATGAGTCATTGGACAGCAATAAAGTTAATTCAATGATATTCTATATTGCGGGTTACGAACAAGTATTCGACCATAGAAACTAGATGCGGTGAGGAACTATCACAGTTAGTTTTTGTAACTTGCTAGCTCCTAAGAGAGTCAGTGCACAATATTGACCTGGAAGTAACAACTAGAATCAAATCTCTACAAGAACTACACAGAGGAAAATCACACACCTTCAGAAGTGGAGTTTGGTACTTTTTTACCTGAAAATAAGCCAAAGGAATATTGATCAAAACAAGCAATTTAAACTAGTGATTTTGCTTTAATAAGAAAATTATATATACTTACAGCCAATCATATACATTAAACTGCATAACCAGCTAACTGGAAAGATAGAAACTAGCGGACATAAATTACACCACCGAACCACAGTAGTTACCCCACTTAACTCCAGATGTTTCAAAAAATCACAAAATCAGTAGGAAAGGCCAGCAACATATGAAGGATAAACATGATCAAAGAATTTAAATGGGTAAATGAAAGAGGATGAGTGTTGCATCTTAAACTTTTACCATATGAAGGGATGATAGAAAAGGTAAGAACTTATGGTGTTTCAAATTATGGAGGAACTTCAAATGCTTGATATTGGCTGAATGGTGGTAGATGTTTATGCAGTACAATTATGACAGCACTTGCTTAGAAACTTTCAGTGATAAAACTAGAAGAGAATCCAAGAAAGAAACATGCTTCTCTGTTGAATTCTACAATGACAGCAAGAAAAAAAACCTACCACATAGTCCCAACCATGTCTTGCAGCAAAATCCTTGGCAGCTGCTTCGCTTTCGAAGCTAAGTGCAGAATCCCCAACATTAGCATATGGGTCACCTGTGGACGTCCAACCCATCAAAGGGTTTTCCCACCTTCAAACAAAGTTAGAAACTGCATGAGCTGCCGAAGGTTAAAAGGTCCTTTCCACAAGAGACATAGCCACTAAATGCAATCCTGGAAGGGGGTAGTGCATGTAAAATGAAGGAACTTTCATGTCATTGCACAATGGAACTAGGAGCACTATTTCATAGCTTTCATTTTCACTTTTTGCTCGTATGGAAAAGGAAACAAAACAAAAAAAATTCATAAAGTTTGGAAGCTATGTCTGCAATACAGAAACATTAGAAGAGTTTGTAAAAACTGGAAAGGAATAACCAACAGTAAGAAACTAGAGCAATCGAAGTATCAAAACATTATTCATATTGTCTAGTCAAAATGCATAGCAAAACATTGGTTTTACGACCTACCAATTCAAGTTGAGAACAGAAAAATAAAAAGGAAAAAAAAACCACAACAGAAACCCTATAGAACTAACATAACTTTCAATGTTCCAATAGCAAGTACATAGATTAACACATACTTCTGAGTAGACACAAAGTTGATTTTCCACTTCCCAAGTTTCCCGGATCCTTGCTGAGTTGCAGTTCTAGCAGGGGAGTAAATTACAACCTATAATGCACACCAATCCCACAACAACGCACGAGTTAAGAATATAAGACTGTGACAAAAGCAACCAGTCAAACAGAAAGCACTGCAACCAGCTGCATGAACCCAATACAGGTTTTGCATAAAGAAAGGAAGAAAAATGGTCTTGGACACGCATTCTGGAACTAGTCCAATTAGCTATGTTGAAGGATTTGAAAGAAACAAAAGAGAAGAAGAAAGAAAGCTCGTGATCTATACAAAGAGTAGAGCAAAGATACTATTAACCTCTCCCGCTTTTAGTTCGGTACCAAACAGGGCATAACGAGACACAATGCAGGAACTTTGCATATGTATATTAGCTCCAACTCTAAGGATCCAATATGAAATTTTATCAGATATCCCTAAAAGGACAAGGAAATTAATCCCTCCTGATGCAGCTAAACTTCGTAAATCCAGAAAGGGTTTCGACAAATCACAATTACCCATCATCACATTGCAACATCTCTTACACATCGCTAAACTACCACACCACTGAGAGAACATCAATTAATTTTTCTGACAATAGAGAACGTCAATTGAGAAGGGCGAGTTCAGCCAAATTAAAGAGATCAAAACTTTCGATCCGCTAAACTACACCGACTAATTTATCAGGCACGGCCAAAAACCCTCGAGACATTTCTCAAAATCACGAAAGTAAAATTGACGTCGGAATCAAAATGGTTATCCGGGTTTACCCGCCGGCGAAGCTGCTCATGAGGAATACCGGAGACCATGCCGATCTCGCCGGGCTTCGTCTCCACCAGGGCATCGGAAGCTGAGGACGAAAACTGTCGGGAGATGGGGGAGAGACTTGCGCCAATGTTGCGGCAGCCGCGGCCACAAATTCTTTGGAGAGAGGCCGCCATATTCCGCTGAGGCCCCACTGGTACCGTCGTCGGCTTGGTGTGAGGGAGACGATGCGTAGAGAAACTCGGCGATGTAGGCTCGTGAGAACGGAGAAGGAAATGGAAGATTGTGAAAATTGAAAAGAAAAAAAAAGGCAAAATACACTTGTATATCCATAACTTTCACGTTTGTGACAAATATATCCATAACTATCGAAATACACGAAATACCCAATTCCGTCCATTTTGTTAACGGCGTCAGTTGATGGTATAACTAGACTAACGGTAGAAGCTGAGTTGGCGATTGATTTACCCCACCAAATGACGTGGATTGTAAAGAAAAAAATACAAAAAATTAATATAAAAAAAAACAAAAACAGAAAGAGAAAGAGACGAATAAACCCTTTTCTTCCCTTCCCCGCTGCAACTCCTCCCGGAAGAGCGACCTTCCATCTTCTCCCTTCTTCTTTGAATCTCCCCATTAATCTCACTTCCAACCTCTGATCTACCCTTCTTCTTCTCTGCATCTCAGTCCCAACCTTCGATCTCCCCCCTTCTTCTCAAAATCCTCCTTGTCGTTCTTCGTGACCAGCTTCCTCTTGGAAATTGACTTGCAGGCATACTGCTTCCCGGTGGAATTCTCGATGCAGAGGTAAGTAACCCCAAATTGGCCCTGACCCAGTTCTTTTCCGATCGTGTAGTGAAGCTTGACGTCCTCGTAGGCCTTCCCGAGGATCGTATCGGGTCGCCGGGATGGCTTCGGGCTCGGCAGAGCGAGGAAACCGGGTTTTTTGGGGGGTCCGGAGTGGAGATTGCGGAGGAATTACATGGCTGCCGGCAGAGTCTCCGGTGGTCGTCGGAGGAGGTTTGGACGAATGATTGGTATAATCAGCAGGAGGCAGGTCTCGAGATTTGGGATGGTAATTGTTGTGATGATTGTTATCATTGTGGTTGTAGCGGAAAGCATACCCGCCTATGCCGCCTTTGCTTATGCAGTGACCCATTTAAGACCCAGCTTCTACTGATAGCTTATCAAAATTATGGATCAGCGAGTGGAAGAGGAAGAGGAGAAGAAAGGTGTCGTCAGGGGTTGAATTGAATTGGGGGAAGGTGGGTATTGATGGGAAGAAAGATTCAGAGATGATGAGGCAAGAGTCGACAGAAAGGAAACCAAGGGAACAAGAGATTCCAAAATCGATGAACAGATATATGATTATAAAAAACTGGAGGACGAAGACCCAGAAGAGGAATTGGAGGGGAAAGAGGTGGGAAACGATAAAGATGACAGCTTTGAGGTGGATCAGAAGCAGGCGGATGAATTAAAAAAGCAGTTGGCAGAGGAAGAGCCAACTTCTTCTCAAAATCCCCAGAACTCGATTTCCCCCTTTCCTCCTTTTGTTTGATGTTGGAGCCAAGGAAGAGAGAAGAAATCAATGTGGCGGAGATAATTTTTTTTAATTTTTAATTTTTTATTTTTTGCTGACATGGCGTCCACATGTGGCATGGGTATGGTCCTAGTCAGCGTTCCGTCACATTTACTGACGTCGTAACAAACGGCGTTAAAGTTTGTAACAGAAATGGATAGATTTGTCACACGATAGTACGCTTTTCTGGGTATTTCATGTATTTCGATAGTTATGGATATATTTGTCACAAACGTGAAAGTTATGGATATAGAAGTGTATTTTGCCAAAAAAAAACTCGGCTGTGTTTGGTTCCCCTCTTATTTCATCAAAAAATTTAGTTATCAAATTTAACTTTAGATCAAGGGCTAATACCAAGGTTGTTAGCCAGTTTAGCTTGTTAGTCCGATCGAGTAAGTGGATGATTATTAATGATCTGATTGTGTATTTCGGTTTAGCTCGAATATATGAAAAAATATATATATTATTTATATATTTATAATTTATATCAAATTTCATCTACCATGGTTAGTAACACATAGTATCACACAAAAGTAACCGTTCGTACTTGAATCCAACATATAGTGAAATTCAAACACACTTAAATAATATCAATATTCAAATGTTCAATTTAAAATTCCAAAATTAGGGCTAAGTGCAGGGAAAACCGAAAAAGTTGCGTAATTCACAAACCAAAAGGAACCTCCAGCACGGGAACTTACAGCCGACAAATGTCGTCTTAGCTCTCCCTCCTCTCTAGCCAACCACCGCATCGTCCCTCCTCTCCAGTAGACCGTAGCTGTCGTCTCCAGCAGCGCAACAGGGTCATCGTCGCAAGCATCTATTGCGCCTCGTCCTCGCCGCCATCGCACAGTCTTCCTCCATAGTTGTCGTCGTTGATCGCCATCGTGCTAGTTGGAGAAGGTTTGTGACTCACACGTCCTTCCCTCTCTCGTTTGGTGGGTTGATGAATGATGAATAATGAATTAATGATAAATTATAGTAGGGTATGCTACTAATTTAAATGGAAAAGGGGTAATGCCCATAATGGTATGATGGATTGAGATTTGTAGGCATGAGTATGGTGGATTAAGAGCTTTTGGTTCGATTTTTTTTCCAACATTTAATTTAGTGAGGCGACGATTAATCGCCCTGAACGCCAGGCGGTGACTCCCCGTCTAGTTGACGCCTAACGTCTTCTTGAACAATGTAATTTAGTAATCTCCTATACGCCTAACGTCTTCCCCTCTTTGCCCGAACCGAAATATAGCTCGGTTCGGTTCGGATTTTTTTTGTCAAAACCGAATTTATGCAGCGTGAAGACGTCCCCTCTTTGCCTTCACCCATTACCTCGCTCTCGCTCCTCTTTTTGCTCTTCTCCGCTTTTTCTCCCTCTCTCCAGCTATCTAACTCTGCCTCTTTCCCATAAACAGAGCAACAAAGCCAACCCCTCCCTGGCCCCTGCCTCTTCGTCGTTCCCAGCTCCCACAAAGCCCAACCCTCCCTGACTCTTCGTTCTCCCCCAAATCGATTCGTCTCATCTCCCTCTATCCCCGACCATCGTCTCCGCTCCCCGAATCCCCCAACCTCAACCATGCATCTCATCCTCCACCTTCGACAGAGATTCAAAAATCTCCCCCAATCACCCCCAATCTCATTGATTCTCTCTCACCGACTCACTGGACACTGGCAGAGGCTACCAATGACACATGCACCGCCCGGGTCAGCAGAGGCCACCGATGACACATGCGCCGCCGCGGGAAGCAAGAACAGATCCAGACTTTCCTTCGATTCAACATTTGTTTTTGTTTTTGTTTGATTCTGATTTGTTCTAGGTTTGCTAATATGAGGTTTTGTCTTTTTTGATTTTGAGTATAAATGGCCGGCGATGAGAAGAGAATGGAGAGAGGGAAATGATAGGACTCCAATGGCCGCCCAGAGGAAGTCGGCGGCGGTACATCCACGGCAGGGGATGGCGACGGCAAAGAGGCAGGATGCTGGTTGTGGAAGAAGAAAAAGAAGATGATGATTTTGGAATGGGCTAGGGTTTTAGTGGCAGAGAGTGGGCTTGGGGTTGTGGGTTGTATGTGTGTGAGGGTGGGCTTGGGTTGTGGGATGTGTGAGAGTGGGCTTGTAAATGTGGGTTGTGTGTGAGAGGGAGAGGAATTTCGGTTTGTTCGGTCGGAATTCGGAATTTCGGGTTCGATTGGGCACACCTTGGTTTTCGAAGTATAGGGTTTTGCCTTCCGAATTTCGAACCGAATAACAACAGTTCGGTTTCGGTTTATTTCGGTTTTGGTTCGGTTCGGGTTTACCGAACCGGTTGCCCACAGGGAAATTTTAACATAAAATATAATAGAAGGACAAATTTGAAACCCTAATAAATATTTAGAGAATCCTATTCCAATTCGATTACCCTAATTCCACACGGAAGAGATAATCGAAGGGTCATATAAAATTAACTCCTCTCGAGTGAAAATTATTACTGAGCATTCATAAACAAACAAATTGTTACTGAGCGAGCGAGGGACGCAGGATTTCGCTTTTTCTTTTCTCTTCTCTTCTCTTCTCTTCTCCTCCCCAGAAATACACAGAAAAAACGCAGTAGAAATGTTTTCCCGATTTCATCTCTCCAATTTCTTAGAGTGAGCGAGTCACCAAATTCCCCAATTTCAAGCAATTGTATCCTCTCGCACACAAAAACGATCCCTTTGTAAATTCCTTCTCCTTCTACACATTTCCCCTGCTGCTGCGCTGGCTCGCCTGTTTGTGAGGTACACACTCTTCATGTCCAACCCACCGTAATGAATTAACTGTGATATGGAGGAATTCGTTGGAGCCGCCCTTTTTTCTTTTGTGTGTTCTACCTCACTTGCCACTCGCTACAGTGCTTTAGATTGTCTCAATTGTTTGATATTGTTTAATCCAATTTTCTTGGTCGGAAATCGTCGTCGTTGCAAATTCGGTCTGCGATCCGTGCCTTCTTTCTGGGAATTTATTTGTCGAATTCGCCATGATTTGGATTCGAGAATTTGGGTTCCTGATTGCGCAAAATTATAAGTAAAAGCAACCACCTTTGCGGGAAATTGCAAGGAATTCGGTACTAGGTTGGTTGAATCTGCATGGGTTTGCTGATTGAGGGTTGAATTGTTGGCTTTTTTATTATGGCATTGTCCTTTTTCTTCTCTCTCGTTGCTATGATTCTTTACTTGATGATCTAGATGCAGTTCCACTGTTCGTCTCTGAATGCCTCTTCTTCGTTTGTTCTTTTGTTTATGATGTACAATTAAGGTTTTCGACTTTGGAGATAGATTCCTTCAAGAGGAGGGAACGATCATTCGGGTTTGATGGGCGCTCCTAAGCAAAAGTGGACAGCAGAAGAAGAGGCTGCCCTTAAAGCTGGAGTGGTTAAGCATGGGACTGGTAAATGGCGCACTATCCTTATGGACCCCGAGTTCAGTGCAGTTTTGCAGCTGCGTTCTAATGTTGATCTCAAAGTATGTATGATGCATAACCTTAATCAGCAGTTCTTTTTGTGTGTTGTCTTTATTTCTGATTCATGTCCGTGTTTTCCTTGGTTGTACTGGATTGAAAGTGTAAAGCTTTACTAATGGTTGACAGGATAAATGGAGAAACATTAATGTGACAGCAATTTGGGGTTCTAGGCAAAAGGCAAAGCTTGCACTTAAGAGCAGTCCACAAACACTTAAAAATGACCAGAGCTCTAGCCCTCCGACCACTGTAGTACCCTCTAATGAAGAAGCTGTTGACGCCAAGCCTCTTGCAGTAGTTTCCGCTGCAACATCACGACGTAGTGGGAGTCCAAGGGAACTATTTCCAAAGTACGAAATCTTACCTGAACATTTAAATATTTGCTTCATCATTTTTCTGCAGATTAATGATACATATTGGCAACTCCTTACCCTTGATGTTGGAATTTGGTAAACTATACCTGAGAATCTACGGGCAGATCACAGTGGAACAAGACACTATATGTTCTCAATTGATATGTGCTTAAATTCATATGCATCAGCTTAGTACAAGCCTCATTTGAGGTTTTCAAACATATGCACGGGACTTATGCTTTGGATGATGTGGATAATTGATGATTATATTTCAGAATTAGAAAGTTGAATTTATAGCAGATTCTGTCCCAGAATTTTGTGATAGCTTGCTATACAAAAACGAAATATAGTATCTGAAAATAAAGCCTACGTTACTTACATCTCCACAAATATAGGCGAGGATTCAGTTCTGCAGGACTAAGGATTTTCATATTAGAATGTATATATCTAGTGATTGAACACTTGATTTACTCAATCATTGAACCTGTTCCCTCCATGATGGTAGGTTGGATAGTTTGATTTTAGAGGCTATCGCTACTTTGAAGGAGCCAGGTGGCTCTGATGGAGCTTCGATTGCTATGTACATAGAGGTATACCTCACCCCTTTTTCATTAGAAAATACATGGTAGTTATTTCCTTTCCAAAATCAAATATTGCAGTAATATTTTCGTATTCTAGTTTGAGAGCATATCATATTTATATGAATTAAGGGTTTTCCCTTCACTTGCTTTGCTTCAGCATGTTTAAGCTCCATTTGATGTATTGAGTGTTACAATTTGTAGGATAAACAATGGGCAGTCCCAAAACTCAGAAAGTTATTGGCAGGAAACCTAAAGCGTTTAACAGCCGCTGGAAAGTTGATCAAGGTAATTGTTATGTTTTTCTTCTTTCCGCTGTTGGTGTTGCTTATATCGTAGTGATTATCTTTAGAGTGACATGACGAGAACATCTAAGCTGCTCAGGGAACAGGCCATATCTCATATGGTCAAATATATTTGTTGTCATATGGTTCTTGACTATTGTTCTTTTATTCAACACAGGTAAAGCACAAGTACAGAATTGTACCAAGTTCTCCTTTATCAAAGGGAAAGAAAAGAACCCCCCTTTCACGTATAGATGAAGATCAGAAGGACACTTCAAACTTGGAAAAGAATGGCACCACCAAAATGGTGACTGAGTCCCAAGTTGAGCAAGGCCTATTGAGAATACAAGGTATGACTGCCCAAGAGGCTGCGGATGCTGCAGCTAAGGCAGTTGCAGAAGCCGAGGCTGCTATTGCTGAGGCCGAAAAGGCTACTAGGGAGGCAGATAGAGCAGAGGCTGAAGCAGAGGCTCGCCAAGTTTTTGCAAAAGCAGCTTTGAAAGCATTTAAACTCTGTGCACGTCACTCCTGGTAATTGATTAATTTCCCCTCGCCCCATCTTCATGAAAGATATTTCGTCATTTATAATGTAGATAGGGAATCAACAATGCTGATAACTATGAGAGGCTGACATGTTTCCATCTCTGATCCATAAAATGTCAACTCATTCTCCTTGCAGATGACTGGAAGTATGACTTGGATGGGTGCTTTAGGTGTTTTAGCACAAAAAGTAAACCTCGTAATTTTTGCAGCAAAATCTCGACTGCCAGCCATGTTGACTTGTACTGTAAATGTTGTATATGTCAAAGGTGCAACAACATTGAATCTGCAACGATATAGTGATCCTTTAGAGAACAGAAATCTGTGACTCAAGGATTCTGAATAATATAGATTTTTTTGACACCAAGAGTTTAGTGCTTTCCAAGAGCACGGGACAGAGTTGATCAGTTGAAAGAGCCAAAGTTGATCATTTCTTTCTTACATTAATATTACATACATTAGGAAGAAATCATGATTTCTGGTCACAACTAGGTCTGAAATCATGAGGATGCCAATTCCCACGTTGTTTCTTTTGTTCCACAATCTAAGATGTGTTTGTGCCCTAAACTAGTACTTACAAAAGCTCTTTCTGCCTACTAGGATCCATATAACCAAACGTTTCATTTCCACAGAGAGCTCGTAATGCTTTTGATAAGTTTGAGACGGTGGCTTCTGATGGAAGATGGCAATTACTAATTGCAGCTAAAAGCTTGTGTAAACTGTCCGTACTGATCTTACGTCCATAAGACTTGAGTATATCTTTCCACTGGGTTTCACTGATCTGGAATGGTGCATACGCGGCAGCATTCGCAAGTGTAACAGCTTTCTCATAGTTCTGATCTCTTGCAGCTTGGCATACCAGTTCAATGAAGTAAAGTGGAGAAGGGATTTCTCCTGCTTCCAAAATCGTGTCGAATGCATGCTCCAAAAGATGTCCCTGCCATAATAGAATCTCAGTAAGGGGTAAAATATAAGTGTAATTAGATGTCTCAGTAGGAGAAATACATTCAGGGAGGATAGACTGCTGATAAGCAAGGAATATTGAAAAAGACTGATACATGAGAAGAAACCCCCACCTTCCCAGCTCTAGAAGCTTTCACAAGTAGCAATTCGTGTTTTGTTTGATCTAACTGATATCCAGAAAATACCATCTCTCTGTACACATGCTCAAAGTATTCCCACTCGAGTGCGTTGGCAGATGCTTCAAGCATAGCACTGTAAGTGTATCCATCTGGTGTGCAATGAGTACCATAGGTGATCTTAATTTCTTCATACAAGCTCTTCGCCGCAGAGAAGAAATCATTTTGGCAATAAACTCTCAGCATCGTGTTTATGGTCCCTATGTTAGGGACACAATGAGATTTCATATGCTCGAAAATAGCTATGCAATCATGGATGTGTCCTCCATCCATGGCAGCTAGGATCATCCCCGTGAAAGTGTACTCCATAGGTTTACTTTGGGGAACCCTTCTAATCTTGTCAACCTGATAAAACAGTCTTACAACACAAGTTAGCAACTCTTGCTGATAGCTATCCAAAAGGCAAACAGTATAAGCAGAATGAAACATTATCAATGTATTTGATTCAACAAATGGTTGGTGCCTGTGATCTCTGGGGGACTCCGGTTGGTCGTGAAACCAAAGTTCTCATCAAATACATAATTTTGAACTTCTACTCTAAAAATCTTTTTCTAAATTAAGGTAGACCCCTACTTTACATCCTCGTTTCTACATCTCCAATTCTAACACTTCCCCTTCAGTTAAACTTCAAAAGTTTGTGAGGCCATCTTAGTCATTTCACAGAACTTGCATATTTAAATAATATCATCTAGCAGGTGGGCAGCTTAATCATTTCACAATCTTAATAATTTTTCCACACTTCCACTACTACTATTGCCAAGTTCTCCCCTCACAGGTCTCTGATTGAATCAAATTGGTTCGCAAATGGTGTATAGTTCAGTAAACATCAAAATACTAAGCAACAGACTCTGACCTCATGCATGGCATCTCGCCACCTCCCGTGATGACAAAGGCAACATGCTAGCTCATAATACACGCTTGCTACTCCAACCACACCTCTGTCTTCCATATCTCTTACCGATTCCACTGCTTCATTTACTTTACCTTCCTCCCAAAAAGCTCTAACTAGAACTGGACAACAAATGCAGTATCAAAATATATAGATGTTTTATGCAACCAGATATCAATATGCCTAAGGAACTGAGCAAACTAGTCTACCTTTGTATGTAAGAGCTTTTGGAGCTTGTCCACTTCTGTTCATCTTGTTAAAGAACTCATGGACCAAGTCATATTTCCCACACCGTAGCATTACCTTTCAACAAGTATTTTCCTGTAAGTCTCAGAGTACAAGGGTGGGATTGTGGTGATATCAACTTCCATTACTCCATCTAAAATTCATAGCTAAGGGAGGCTCAAATGGTTTGGCATCTAAGTTATACGGAAAATTCACAGAGGCTTACAGATAGATTTGGAACTCTAGGTTTACTGTGGTGACTATTTCTACACGATGGTAAATGTTTACAGGATTGAATTACTGCTATATAGCCTTCTACTTTTACAGCAAGACACCCTACATCCAACTTGTTGTTAGCTCCACCTAAACCTAACTGAAAGGAAGTTATAGATAGCATGATCCTAAGATTACCTCCATTGCTAACCCATATGTTGCTCCATTAGGTTTTAGACCACCCTTTCTCAACTGCTCAAATACCCATGAGGCGCCCTTCCACTGCTGTGATGGAATACAAGCATTCAACACCTGCGCAGAGAAATTACAAGGAGAAATAAGTATATTTCTATTAATCATAGCTGGTACACTATAGGTAATATGCAAGATGCCAAGAAAAGAAAGAGATCTGGTGTTGTGCTCCCGTACAGCATTATATATAACCAAATCAGGTTCAAGGCATAGGTCCCAATCCTTCTTCCGCATAATACTAACTCTTTTAGGAGGCTTCTCTCTCATGACTTCCATAACTTTCATCAATTCCTTCAGAAGACCAGCTTGACCAAGTGTAACAGCAATACTGTGATATGCAGCCATATCCGGGTATGTGTTGCAATCTTCCTGAAGCATTCAACATACCAATCATCAATGCTCAGCTAAAGGGGACAACCCAAATAAACATAAGCCGCACACCATTGAAGTGACTATTACACGCATCAGGTTGAAAATGTGAAGAGCTTCATGTGGTCTCCTTGCCTTGCCAAGTACTGACAAGACTTTTGTGTAGACAAACCTACAAAAAGGACGATGATTTTCTCTTCATAATAACCTCTGAACTCCAATGCCGAACAGAATTCACCACCAGGGGTTATACCTGCTCATGAATTCTTTCCTATCCTTATCATTATATACCCACTCAACAACTGCTAAAGCTTGTTTCCATTGTCCTCTCGCTCCTAATGTATCCACAATCTTCAACAACTGCCTTTCTGTAAATTGCAATCCTGACTGCTTCATCATCCTCGCTAATTTCCAGTCCTTCACCGTCGTCACCTCTTTAAGACACAACCTATTGCAACAGAAGTATAAAACACACATTACAACCTAAAAGAGCTGTGTGGCTAAGACGAAAAAGAAGTATCAACAAACTCGAGTTTAGTCACAAACTTGTTAACAAGAAACTGGATTGTTTCCCCTTCACTGCACTTTCGCCTGGAGGGTTCCAAATTAGTTTCATTTTCAGTCCTGGAAAAGTCATCGTCTTCAAAATCGATATCATCATCCAACACCCACTTCAAATTGCCCTCAAATATCTCCTTCAGTTCCCTCAGATTCTCCCTTTTCGGCTTCCCTCTGTCGAAATCTTTACAGCGGCCAGAAATCTCCCTTAGCTTAACTTTACCCATCTTTTCCCAGGGCCTCCCCTCCAAAAGAACCCCACTTCCTCTCGGCTCTACCGCCTTGGTGAAGTCTCTGTACTCGCGCTTCACTGTCAGAAAGTGGGATTCCTCGGCGAGGGCTTGTTTTTCGGATTCAGTGAGCGGCGGCGGTTGCTGGGTGCGGCGAATTTTGTTCAGCTTGCGGTTGTGTTTTTGAATTTCTTTCTTGCGGAGGGTGTGAATGATTTTGGGCGTTGGTTCCAAGCCTTTCTTTAGAAGCCTTCGTTTGATGGTTTCGACTTTGGGTTCAAATTTTTTAGGGGGGAGAGAGGGAGAAGGAGAAGAGGGAAAAAGAGCCATTGAAGTTTCCATGACGAGAACTGGTGAGGCCCGGAGTGGTGTTGTGGTAGAAGCAAGCAGCTAAAAAGCCGAGAAGAGGCGGATAACGGGTCGACGAGGGTGAAATATGTTCTTTCTTTTCTAGAAATTCCGCCATTTGTCAATTTCTTTCATGCTTGATAATATCTGTTTTGATCATCATTTCTTGATCCGGTCAAAAAAAAAAAAAATCATCATTTCTTGATTGATTGTCTTTGAAATATCCGTTTATCGGTTTATCACACAATAGAATGTATTTTTTGGTCATATTTATGAGCGAGTTCTAGGACATTTGAAGATCAAAACAAGCCAAAAAATTGAGGTTGTACACAAGTTACGAGACTGAGTGTCTCAAGTCACAATCGGGGGTGACATTCGACAAACAGGGGATGAGATGAGCAAAAATGTAGTAAGTTTTACACAAGTTGCGACCTGACTTGCAAAACCCACGGTATGATCGTGACGTGGAACACAAAATCGTGACTTTCATCTACAAACAAAGTGAAACAACAAGTTTTGCACAGTTCACAGCCTGTGTCACTACCGTGACGCATGCATTGTCTCGGTATGAATAGTTGTTGCAATTATTAGAAGGGGGAGAGTTGAGTTATTGGCCAAAAGCATCCAAGGGGCGTTCCAACGAGAAGAAGAGCGATCTATGAGGGTTCTTAGAGCTAAATTGGAGGTTCCCGCCTCCATTGGATCTAGAAGAAAATTGAAGATCTTGAACTTTATATTATAAATCTCTCCTCTCTATGAAATAATTCTCCTTCATTTAGTTCATGAGAAGAGATGGAAGAAAATTTTGGGTGGAGGATATTTTAGGGGGAAATGTTATTTCATAACAAAATTATGAGATATTGGCAAGAGGGGTTAAAATTAATTTGATAATAGTTTTTTTTTTTTTTGATTTTTCCCCCCTAATTTTTCATACAAAAGTATAAAAGAAAAGGTCAAATAAAAACACTTCAACCACAACTTTCCCTTCCTTCGGAGGGAACACTTCTACCGAGCTCAGGTTATGCACCCATCAATAACCAAATCTGGACCCTTCATTTAGAAAATCCAGATCTAAAGATGGAGAATTAAAGACCATTTTTATTTTTCCTAACTTTCTTAATCGGCTCATATCTTTTTCGTTTTAACTCGGATTTTAATTTTTTTTGCACAGATGGAACGAGTTCATCGTGCTCTACAAAATGAGATCAATTTTCAATATTTTTGAGGAAAAAAAATCTGGCCTCTCGGTACCAACTGCATACCATATGGTATTTAATTCGTTTTTGAAAACGTTTGCACAGAAGGGACGAGTTCATCATGATCTATTAGATCTAAAAATTTCTAGGTGAACAAATTACATGACCAAAAAATACCACACAATACCACCCTGGTACGGGGTGGTATCTTGTGGTACACAATGATAAAAGTCGTAAATGACAGTTAATATACTTCTACTATCATGTATTCAACCATCCTACAGTCTTGGTTTGTTCATATCACAATGGTACGCTTTTCAAACCATAGATATGCTCTTATTTCAATACCAGTCAATACCATATGGTATAGACTGGTAAAAAATGACTCAATTTTTTTTGTTCGAAAAATATATCAAAGTGATATCATTTTGAAGAGCACAATTAATCTGATCTAACTGTGCAAAAAAATTAAATTTTGACTTAAAACGAGTGAGAAATTGTCCATCATAGATTAAGGAGGGAAAAATTAAAGGCTTTCCAGGAGAGAGAGGGATGCTGATGTCATGCTGTTGTGGGCTGGTTACTCATGATTACTCACCATAAGGTTACTCACCTGATCCGTTCCCCTTCTACCGTGCAGATGGGGGAAATTGTGGTGGGTCCAATGCATATTTCCTCCCTTCCTTTTTTACAAGAACGAGGGGAAATTAGGATTTGATGAAACCTACTCATGTTTAGTTTGATTGAATGACTGTATGCGTACTCTATTTTGATATTCTTTAGTTCATATCTAATCTATTCATGTTTTGATGTTCAATCCTTCCTTGATCAATATTATTGACTATGCTTTGACTCTATGACGGAGAAAATCTTATTAGGGTAATAGAACATCATAAATTGGGTGTAAAGGGGTAGATTGCACTAGCGTGAGTAGGGTCTTTGTTTTGTATTGTGTGAGAACCTCACTAGATAGAGGGGGTCTTGTATCGAACGCCTTGATCGGTTGTTTTAGAGAAGATTATATCCCTCTTAGCAACCCACTCAAGAGGGTCTTGATTGCTCAAATAGAGATTCAAGATCTAGTCAAGGATCCTTTGCATTATGAATGAAGATTGAATCAAGTTAGAGGATTGTCAACATTGACTCGGTTAGTGGTTAGGAGGAATAAATGCCTAACTGCGCTCTCAACTTGTAATTAGTTAGTGTAGTTGTTAGAGTAGTGTAGTTAGTTTAGCTTCATAAACTCAAATCATGTGTGGCTAGATAACAAACTGAAACGGAGTAATGGTACACCTAGAGATCCAAGTGTTCGATAATTTTATTACTTTACTTCCACTATACTATATTCGATCATTGGTTATGCTTGGCCCTCGATCGAGAGTAATTTAGAGCGATTCAAGTTTTTGGCGCCGTTGCTTGAGAATTCTAGGTTATTATGAAGGCTTAGGTTTGTTAATTTAGTCGTTTTACTTTATTTTCTTTCCACCTTTGCTTTTGAAGGTGTTTTGTGTTATCATTTTGATCAAGCTCTACACTAACAACCACCATGTTTTCCTTGGGAGAAGAGACTACCCTCGACTATGAACATGTGACATAGGGTGCAAATGAGCTAAGTTCTTCACAAGCAGCTCGATACACTGGCTTGTTAGCCCAACTGGTGAGTTGGCTCGTTTTGAGCTAGCGAGCCAACTCTACTACCAACTTATAAGCAAATCGATTTTAGATCTTATGAGTTGGCTTATTGATAATTCATAGATTTGTTAAATTATATATTTCACCTCATATGATGTTGAAGACTTTAAGTACATAAGCAAATATGTCTTATTTATAACTTTAAAGATAAATTATGTATCATATATTGCTTAGATATTGATTATTAAACTAGTTAAATTTTATAAAATAAGGGGTCGTTTGGTTTTGGTGATAGTTAAATAGATGCATTGTCATTAATGCATGCATAATAATATACATGTATATCAGAAAATCGGTGTATTGTAGTTTGCATCGTTTGGTTTATGTGATAGTTATTGTGTTGTTTAAATAAGTTATCTTACTTTTTGGATGAAATGTCACTTTTACCCTTTGTTTGTAATACAAAAAAAGCAAGACATAAAAAGGTAGGGACAAAGTTGGAAGGAAAAAAAAAACACACAACAATCTCAATCAAACAATCTCAACAATTTCACCCAAAACTTGAGATTTAACTATCACTCATTGTGAGTGATAGTTTGTGTCACATCAAGCAAACAATGCATGTATTGTTTGTGCAGAAAATTCAGAAAAACAATGCATGTATTGTAACTATCTCAACCAAACAATCACCAAAACCAAACGACTCCTAAATAATATGATACCATCATAGTATATAAACATTAGATCAGTTAATAATGAAAGATTGACTATTATTCTTTTTTCATCATAACATCAATCAATGGTATCATACACGACATACAAATATTATATAATTTAATTTATAGGTTACTTCATAATTCTTTTCTAAGAATTCAAATGTTAAGAATGAACTGAGCTCAAAGCATCATAATTGATCTTATTAATAAATCAAATTCTAGTAAAGCGAGATGCCAAAGCTCAACACTTTTAAAAAGGTATTTATAACTGGGAATCATAGGTCGCCGCCTGCTAGTTATGAACTGAGAACACAACATTCTTGTCAAATAGTTGGAAGATTTATGAAATGACAATACACAGAAGAAACCACAGGCATCCTTACAAATCAGACAAGAATATGTCCATAATCTAATATACACCCATAACCATCTCAGTCAAACAACCCATAATGAAGGCCAAAGAAGAAGAAGAACCTACTTAAAACAATCAGAAGAGGTAAACTTAGGTTGCCGCCAAGCGAACGATACATCCCTGTAACCTTGCAACTTCAATTACCTCACAGACGCCACAAAAGCCTGGATGAACAATCTGACAGGCAATAGCCGTTTTATTAATTCTTCGACTTGGAATGCTTTACAAGCCAATCAATCACAGAATCTATGTTTGTCGAGTTCTTGCACGAGATCATGAAGCAGCAAACTTCCCTGTCCGTTATCGACTTCAGCCCCCTGCCAAAAGAGCAAACAAATTTCGAAAATTGAGAGGCCAAATCCTCCTGGTTTAGGTACCATTATAGAAAAATTAATGTTGCAAATAATTGATTTAAAGGATCTGAAAGGGGGGCTCCGTGTTACATCTCATCAGTTAAAGCCTGCTTAGACAGAGCTCCTGACTTGTCTATCTTGTTTCCAAGGACCAATAATGGGATGCCACTGAGGGATGGTTTGCTCAGCAAGTCATGCAGCTCACTCCTTGAGATGCTCAAGTTATCATGATCAGCAGCATCAACCACATACCTAAAGTTAACAGCAAAACGTTCATCACCATTAAGCATCAGGAAACCCATCATCTACACCATTACATTAGGATAACAACAAATCAATCATTAATCAACTCATAAGAATATAAGAAGACAAAAACCACTTGTTGTAGAAGCATTTGAGCCAGTCAAAATTTGATTGGATGATCATAATAAGATCATAAGTGCAAGTATCCCTGAGCTAAGATGATGGCAACAATAAAACAACTAGAGGGGCTAAGAGTAACAAGTCAGAGACCCACACATATAATGGCATGCTTGCCTCCAAGATGCAAGCTTGACTTCCATAGAAATCAGAGCAGAAAAAAATATGTCCGCAAGATTGTTGTTGTATACAATCAACTGTCTGCTAATGTGAATTGTGAACTCACAAGTAGAAGTCAAAGTTTACAGAAAAAGTGGTTTTTCTTTTTCTTTTATAAGGGTGAAATAGGTTTGTTTTTATAATTAGGTGCTACTTAAGAGATTCGAACCTGGGACCTCCGGTAATACCACTGGACCAAGCCCTTGTTCGCAAGTTTATTCAACTTGTTGAACTTTTGCAAATGGTATAGAGTAACAACTACACTGGATATGCAAGTTATATTTCAACATGCTCAAACAAACCAATTTGTTTTCTAATTGGAGGTGAAACCAATAAAGTGTATCTTCAACAGAAAAGAGAATGCAACTAAAAGCCACTTGGGCAAACTACCTACTAATCAAAATTTGTCAACCAGAAGGATAATGGAATCGTAAGTCAAACTCACAAGTCTGCAAATTACTTGAGAACAGTTTTCTTACACAATAGCTGAGACCGCACGGCAATATCGCTCCCACATACTGCGGAACCTAGGTTGACCACCAAGATCCCACAACTTAATGGTGACATTTCCTTTTGTTACTTTCCTCATGTTGAATCCCACCTGAAGGTCAAAACAACATGCTGTTATTAGTTCATCATCACAACATAAGGAGTTCACGGGAACTTCCAAAATTACTGACTCGGCAAGGAGGTTCAACATAAGTAAAGTGCAAAAAGGGACCAAAAGTTGTAACCAGAACTCACCGTTGGGATCATGTCTTCACTATATCCACCGGTCTTAAATCACAAGAAAGAAGTCAGCATCAAGAAATATAGGAGCCAGACAAATGGCCTGCCTGAAAAGAATCAGTATAAAATGATACATGCATGAACCACCATACTTACAGCCACGACATTAACAAGAGAAGTCTTTCCGGCATTCTGAAGCCCTATCAGGGACAGCTCCATCTCCTGCTTGAAAAAGAGACTGCAATCACATAACAAAATAGAAGGTTAAGAGCATGAATAAGCAAAACTAAAGATAACTTTTTAAAACAAAGTTCCCCAGGGTATGTCATGTGAGCTTCCAATATAACAAGCTAAACCACCCGGCAGGTTTCATTAACTATAATTCTTCACCTTATTCCAGCCACTTCACATATCAACTGAAGTTCCTACAACTTAACTATCACATAATACACACCAGTCACTCTTAAATACTGCGAAGCTGCATCTCTCCCCAGCCAAGAATTAGCAAACCAGGAGTGTTCCTGTGGGAAGGCAAAATCCGGGCAAAGACTACTGACCCTCTTCTTGTTTGTTCCTAGACGTCTGTTACGAGTCTGGGAAGTTTACAGCCTAACGAGAATTAAATTGCCAACTTTGCTAACTTGTCTACCTACTTCAAGCCTGTTGTCCTTAAATCCGTGAACATGTATCCTATGCAACCACGATTTTCATAGCTTTAACTCCACGACTATACACAGAAATATAAAGAGTTCTGACCAGATCAAGATATCATATCGTCCAGACTACATGTAATCGTAAACATTTGGCCAATAGCCACAATCATACTCCTCCCAATTCCAATCTTGGAAAAGAGAACATAGACCGAGCAGAATACCATAGGAATTCCTAGCTAGAATGATCAGCTAAACATGAGGACAAAAGCTTCAGGGAATTCAATCACTCGCCCATTCCATCTGAATTGAAACCTCAAAACCACGTAACAGAGCTCAAAACTAAGGCATAAGCTACATTTACCTCCATCCCCAAATCACAAAGAACTGCGGCAGCAAACAAATTAAAGAGGACCAATCTCAACTAGAAACGATGGGAATTCAATTGCAAACAGCTAAATATAGCGAGCGATAAATAGATAGTAGCGTTTGGGGGGAGGGGAAAAAGAAGAGGGAAACAAAGGGAATTGAGAAGCGAGGCGAACCTGCGGAGCCAATTGAGCAAAGCTTCCCAAATACCCATCGCCGGCGACGAGGAGGATGAGAGATAGGGAAGAGAAAGAGAGGGAAGATCTGCGGTGGAAACTCGGGGAAGCTGGAATTGAAATTTGCAGGGAGCCGCGGAAAGACAAAAAAAAAAAAAAAAAAAGAGGAACGAGACAGATAGACAGGGAGGGAGACGGAAAGAGAGAGACACACAGAACACAACGCAAGACACCCACGCACTCTCTCGCTCTCTTTCTATTGCCTCAAAATTCACCTCTGGCTGTCGACCTATCTCCTCACAGTCCTCCCGTAAATCCCTTTCGCCTTTTTCCGAATTCCGAATTCCGAATTCCGAACAACACACAAACCACAAACAGTTTACTCTCTTTTGGAAGACAATTTATTTTTGGCGAGATATTTTATTCAATTTTATAGCCGATTTATTTCATGTATATATATATACGTGTCGCCTCACAGCTCATGGAATAATATTTCCTACCGACCAAATCCTGTAGAAAATAATAAAAAAGGAAATGTTTTTCTTCCTTATAACAACGATGAAGATAGGCAAAACCGCAAAAGTTAGATGAGGTTGTCGACCCGGTTTAGCTCGTTGGCTCGCCCAATCAAGTGGATTGAGAGTTAATAGTTCGATTGGTTTAGCCTGATTTATTTTAAATATATGAAAACATTCATTATATTATTCATACATTTATAAATAATATCAAATCTCATCTAACATATAATATTATACCAAAATAATATATCATACTTGGTTCCAACATATAGTAAAAATTCACTCATATTTAAATAACATAAAAATTCAAATGTTCAACTTAGAATTCCAATAGTAGTGTTAGGCGAAGAGAATAACCAGAAAAGAGGCGCATTTAGCAAAGCAAAGGAAAAAATGATGTAGTGTGATTTTCAAATAACCTTACAATGGATCAACGCTACAAAATATGTGACCCTTTTTTCTCACCTGGTTAGGATCAACAGCTCAACCAACGAGCCGACCCACAAATGACAACCTATTGCTAATAGGGCTGCAAATGAGCCAAGCTGCTCGCGAGAAACTAAGCTAAACCATGCTCAACTTGATAAGCTCGTGAGCTAGCTTGACTTGGTGGCTTGTTGAGCTAAGCTCGCGAGCTTAGTTGTTTAGAGCTTCTGGAATGATTAATTACTCTTCTGAACATTAACAAGATTGCTAATACATATGTGCATGGAAGTTGGTTGTTATTTATTGTTTCTAATGTTCTTTTTGTCATTTAAATTATTATGTGTACACAATTTTCCGCAAGAATGATTTCAAATCGAACTTATCTTGAGTCGAGCTTATACTCAGCTTGACAAGCTGTGTTAATGCGCATTTATTGAGCTCGACCTGGATTATTTTTAATCGAGCTCGAGCTGGATTATTAAAATTCGAGTATGAGCCGAGCTCGAGCTGAAAAATTTATAAACGAGTCAAGCTCAAACTAAGCAAAAATTTGACTCGACTCGGCTCGTTTGCCGCCCTAATTGCTAACAATGAAAGGGCCTCCACCACTTCAGAGTTATTGAGCTGGCCCTACTGAGGCCCATCTTTGATTTGCAAAAAAAAAACATCTAGTCAGTTCAGCCCAGCCCAATGATATTCCCCTCTTCTTCCAAAACCCTAATCTCGGCCGCTATAAAGACTTCCGCTTCCAGAAATTTTGCTTTTTGTTCACCTCTCATTTTCGCAGTACCAGCTCCAGAACCCTAGCCGCCGTCGGCAAACTACAGACCACACCCAGACACTATGAAGTACAATCCAAGAGTTTCCTCTTCCCGGCGCAAGAACCGGAAGGCTCACTTCACGGCGCCCTCGTCGGTCCGCCGTATCCTGATGAGCGCCCCGCTCTCCACCGACCTCCGCCAAAAGTATAACGTGAGGTCCATGCCGGTGCGCAAGGACGACGAGGTTCAGGTGGTCCGCGGCACATACAAGGGCCGCGAGGGCAAGGTTGTCCAGGTCTACCGCCGCAAGTGGGTGATCCACATCGAGCGCATCACCAGGGAGAAGGTGAACGGATCGACCGTCAACGTCGGAGTCCACCCTTCCAAGGTCGTCGTCACCAAGCTGAAGCTCGACAAGGACCGCAAGTCGCTGCTCGACCGCAAGGCTAAGGGGCGCGCCGCCGCCGACAAGGACAAGGGCACCAAGTTCACTGCTGAGGATATTATGCAGAGCGTCGATTAGTTGTGGTTTTCCCCGGTGGACATTTTGTTGTGTTTCTGCTGGCTCTGATTTCTTACTGATGGAAGTTGGTCTTATTCGAATGGTAGGATGGTTACGGAGGCGCAGGAGAACAATTGTCGGAGTATTGAAGTTTTGGATGGTATTACTTTCTGTTACGACCAGTAATATGGGTTTCATGTTATCTCATTATGGCCTCTGTCAACTGGATATTGCTCTTGTCAAGCTTATACATTTTCGAGTATCTGAATTTTGTGTGTTTGATGTTGTGTTTAATTCGCCTTGTTTCCGTGGTGGTCATGCTTATCGAATTGCGATTTTAGTATCATCACTCTGGGTGATTTTAATGTAGGTGAAAACGGTTTCCCATAAGGTTGTTGGGCATTGGTTTGTTTGTTTGAATGATAGGGCAATTGCAGTGCTTGTTTCAGATGTTATATGGTTCTTAATGTCGCTAGTTGTTGTTTACAGAGTCCTGCGTGTCTCATTGTAGGCATTCTGTTCATCGAAATGCCTACAAAGTCCTACAAGCCTAACTATTAGATATGGTTTCTCATGTCGAACAGTTTTTGAACTGCTGGTGAGAAGATTTTGAACATGGTTTGGTTGGCGTTGGCAATTGCCCTGAAATATTTGTTCTGCCACTTCTCTTGTTCATGTTATGATTTGGAACATGTTATGGTTGGCATTTGCATCGGCATTCTAGCGTAATGCTGGATTTGTTAGAGTTGCACAATTTGCTGATCTGGGTCCTTTGACTAAATAACAATACCTTGATCAGCAATGTTCAACTTTATGCAGAGAAACATATACTGTTTGATGTAATGCTAGAAGGTTGTTTTAGAATTAGAGCTGTTGTTCCTACAAGTTTTAGGAGCCGTATGGTCTTGTAATAGGGGAAACTTATGCCTCGATATTATGGTCTGGTCAGTGCCTGGAAGTAAGTTACTGACTGCTTTGAACAGTTTCTGCATGCAGTTTCTTTCCTTGCCCAAGGTTGGATGTTCTCTCTTTCAGAGTCTTCAATTTTCCATATATCTTGAGCAATTTCGAATACACTCTACGTTGTATGTTAATGTCTTAATGATGCATAGGCTTCCTATTCAATATTTCTTTCTGTTTTCTTTCATTATTGCGCCCCTATCTATACTTGTCAGTATCTTTGTGATGTTGGGCAAGCAAATGAACGTGTTTTGGTGCTTGTTGGGAAAATCATTATGTATTGATGTTGGGTTTCATATATTTGTAAATGGAAGATATTTGATGCCAATCCTAACAAAATCAAGTATAACTAAGGTAGGGATGTAGTAAAGTGGCTTGTTTGTATTTCAGGCGAACTTTAGGCTTATTATTACTTTGCTCCGAACTACTATTTAATCAACTAGGGTTGACTCCCTCTAACTATAGGTTGTTACGGGAATAATTTAATGGTGTCTCGAGGTGTGGAGGCCACGAAGGTAGGGATCTACGCAATGGTCATGTAATCGTCTCCTCTCCTAGTTAGGATAGTGGGTCTAATGTCACCTCAATCGGGTTACCTAAATAGGTGTAGGTTCTACCTCCAAACGGACATAGTTTGTTTACACACAAGTAGGGCAAGTCGATGGTCACCTAACCTACTAGCATCGACTAGGTGAGACCTAGCTAGAAGGGGATGGTCACCTTGACTTCTAGTTAGTCCTCTAGGTCGACTAATTAGGTAGGAGGCATTAAAAAACATCTTATCCTAAGTAGAAGTTTTAAGCACTCTAGTCAAACTCCAATACACCATAAACCCATGTGTAAAGTAAAAATAATTTCCTTATTATCTAGGTTGTAACTAAAGCAAATTGGATACAGAGAATCCCACACTAATTGATGTATAGAGCACTCTTGACCTAAGGATATTGAATTATCACTTAGGTTAAGAACATATCAATCTCAATCAAGCAAGAGATTTATGCACAAACATCAAATAGAGATAGATCAGGCTTAAAATCATTCATACACAAACATCAAATAGAGGGTTCATCTTCCCTAAACAACCTTATGGATTCAAGTCTATGTACATAGATGAACAAAATACAAACTAAAAAGGGGGAAGTTGGCTCTCCTCAGTCAAGTGCAAAAAAGGGGATATTTATAGTGTCCTGGCACTGATCACGGCCTCGAGGGCGCGACCCGATGGGACGAGAGTGACCAATGCAGTGACTAGTCTGAAACAACATCGAATCGCATGAATCTTTGTGTTTTGACATCGTCTTCAAGTTCCTAGATCGCAACCTCCATCATGAGATCACGATCGCGATTTTTTGTGTCACAAGCATGATCTTTTTCGTGGTTGAAGAGCTCCTTGGCCTCAATTCAAGTGTCGAAACTTTCTTCCCTGTTGTTGGTTACTTGGTGAAGTGCTAGGCCACTGATCAAGGCCGCTGGAAAAGCAAAAAATACGACAAAGTGGGGTTGATTTCTCCATGAAATCTTCATATCAAGCTAACCCGTGTCGAAATGGATGTTTTTCAAATACGAACGAAAATAGGCCTAAACTAGCTTGATTTTTTGGCCTAGAAACGGTGATTTAGCACGCAAATGTCTCAAGAATGAGGGGCAAAATAACACCTATTTTAGTAGCCATTCATCTGTTGATGAATATGTGCATTTTTACACTTATTTGTGTGCTTGTTGGTAGGCAAGCATGAGTAGTTCTGCTACATATACCTCTGTCCATGAGGGGACGTAAATGGGAGGATGGAAGTATTGAAAATGTGAAGTTGGATGCGGTAAAGCTATCTGATCTTCCATGTAAATTGTCCCAAAAGGCACTCCCATTACTCTAGAACGGGTTGGCACAACATGTTGCATTAGACGTTACACCCCACTTTATTCTCTCTTTATTCTTCTTTTTGTACGCTTGTTGCGAGAAAGCACGGAACCAAGCACCTTTCCGATGGCCTAACCAAGATAACTAGGGTTCACTCACATTCAAATCTATCATTAATCATTTGTCAAACACACATACCCACCTACATTAAGAAATCAAACACAAGCACTTCGACTCAAGACATACAACGCATTACGATCATCAACATTGGTCGAGATAATTGGGAGCAAGATTCAACGATCCAAAGCAAGTAATCGCGTTGCAAGCAAAGGAGCCAACTTGGAGCCCTCAATTTTTTTTTTAATAAAAAAAGGGCATGCAAAGCTCCAAGTGGTCAAGTTGTGCTAGATTATCGTCCACAATCACTCTAAAAGCACACTCTCTCTCGTTCAAACATTCATAGCATAAGAAAGATAAATCGATAACAAGCATTAATGCGCAATCCCCACACATAAGGAACACATTGTCCTCAATGTGAGCACCAGTGAAGGATATGGGAACGAGGTTACTAATTTGGTGATGTTGAGTTGATGGTAGGATGGAAGGGTTGGGCAGGTGGGATCGATTGCTGAGAAACATCCACGAGAAAAATAACTAAGAAAAAGATCAATCACATTCACGAAAAGATAAATTAAACAACACAAGTACTAATTAATATAAGTAGAATTTATACTAAGTACTAAAATAGAAAAAACACACATACTACTAACATCTTACATATATCATTATTTAAATTATAGAAACAAGAAAAAGATAAAGAAATGGTCCTCCCAAAACCAAGAAATCCCCTTTTGAACTTGATCTCTCGGCCTTCTAGATGACACTTCTAGTTGTTGGTATTGTTGTTCTTGTGGTTGCTCCTCGACTTGAGGTTATGGTTGTTCTTCTTGGATTTGTGGTTCTTCTTGTCGAGGGCGGGTTCAGTTTCTTCGTGTGTGATACTTAGGATTAGAGCCCTCCACAAAGGTAATGAGAAGAAAAGTCAAAGTTTGAACTCACGACTCTAGAAGCATGTCAAAACAAAAAATGAAAAATGATTCGAAGTCGCAAACTCAAATATCACGCATCAAAGATTCAATCTCAAGTCATTAACACACTCCTAAGGGTCTATCTTTAATAAATAAAGTTCAATTGATAAGCAATTGATAAAGATATACAAGTGAAAGTTCACCGAGCACTTGATGCGAGACATTAAAACTTCATAAACTCATGAAATTCAAACCCACCAAGGTATCCAAGCACCTATTGCACTAGCCATGCCGTTCCCTAGACCTAAGTAGCTTAGTAGGTAGGCTAGCACAATTTCTCGACAACAACAACATTTCAACAATTCATCATTCATCACTTCACCATATTCCATTAAAATTCATTCTTAACTATCAAGGTCATTCACTATCACTCCACTACAAATAATTCTAAAAACAAGATTCAGTTATGTAAGTTCTTTATTCAAAGGTAATGAGAAGAAAAGTCAAACTGATGTTGGGGTGCCTCCCAACTAGCCCATCTTTCACGTCTTATCATCAAATGCTTGCCTTAAGTTCTCGGTCCAACTTAAAACCTCCTTGAGATTGAGGTTCTCATTGGACAAAATTGAGTCTCAAGTCTTTATCGGTCTTCCAATCATTCGGTGAAGGCTCATGTAGAAGAGAATGTTTGAGACACCGCCAATTGAACCTCACTTCACTTCTCTTTTTCATCTCTATACTTCGAACCAAATCAAGTATCCTCGAAGGGTCATTATCAGATCCACCAAGAGGGATTGATGATACCATGGCCTCGTCTCACCAAAGAGTTGTTGAAAAAGGATCCGATGCAAGGAGTCCTTCAAGGTCGGGTGACCTTTTGTGGTCAAAGTAAATGGCCTCTTCGAGCATACTAGCGTTAGCGTTGATGAACCCCAATTCATCTTCATCCTCTTCTTCAACCTCCTCTCTCTCTTCTTTCTTGGTGTCCTCCTCAATTTGGTATTCAACCTCATCATTAGGGGTGTTCAAATGGTTACCATGGTTATTACCAAACCAAATAAGGCTAAATTTCATTAACCATGGAATACAATATCATAACCAAACTTATACAACAACCAAATTAACCAAATTAAAGTTTAAATTGGTTTGGTTAATTGGTTAACCAGATTAACCAATATAAAATCACATTATCATTAAGGGAGAAAATTTCGGTTAATTTATCAATTCACAATTTATATAATGAATAAAACATAACAATCAACACATAGTTATAGTTGACCCTTAACATAAATACATGAAACTAAGATATTTATCTTACGGTTAGTATAGAAAGATTCACCTAACAAAAATTTATCACAATGGTATGGGTTAATGAATTTTTGTGTTTGTTTGAATTGACTTAGTCTTTTAGCAATTTTCATAGGCTGAAAAGTACCTTGCTTTCAAGTTTTCATCCAACATAATGTATGAGATTTATCTAAATTAGGCGTTCATATGTTGTGGTCTACACTCTACATATACAAATATACATTATAGGAACAATATCAAGCTTTATATTTTATGAGTCTAAAAGGGATGAACGTTTAACTCTTGAGTGGTTATTCAAAGTATTAAGTATGTGTATATATTAGATATATGACTAATTATTTATCTGGTTAATTTGGTTTGGCTGGTTAGTAGTGTCTAAAACCTAACCAAACAAGCTAAAATCTTTAACCAAACCAAACCAATTATCCAAATTATCCAAACTAAATTATCCAAATAGTATTGGTTAAAACGGTTACCACGGTAACCACACCGTTCGAACACCCCCTACTCATCATCCTCTTTGCTCAACTCTTCACCCTCATTGACCTCATTTACGCTCCCATCTCTTTTACTTCCTCCTCTGGTTCAATAGGTGTACGAATGTGGTCATTAGCAAGATCTTCGTTAGGTTGACCATCGTGCTCCTCTTGATTTTCCATCATCTTGCGTCGTTCGTCCTCCGCTTCACTTTCAAACCTTATGTAGAAGCAACCCGGAGCAAGGTTAGGAGCACTAGTATCTGTGTACTCGATCCCTATTCCGAAGCGCTCTATGGCTAAGTCCACTGTGATTTTGGCATTTGGTGATCGAGTGGGATGAAACTTCTCTTCATTCTTGCTTGAACTTTCTCCCTTCTCCCTTGACTAGGTGAGACTCTAATTAGAAGGGGATGGTCACCTCGATCTCTAGCTAGCCTTCTAGGTCGACTAATCAAGGTAAGCGACATTCACACCCATCTAATCCTAATTAGAAGCTTTAAGCACCCTAGTCAAACTCAAATACACCATAAATCCATGTGTAAAGTAATTATAATTTTCCTATTATCTAAGTTGCAACTAAGGCAAATGGGATACACAACATCCTAGACTAATTGATGTCTAGATCACCCTTGACCTAAGGTGATTGAACTATCACCTAGGTTAAGAACAAATCAATCTTAATCAAGCAAGAGTTTTATGCACAAACATCAAATAGACATAGATTATAGGCTCAAAATCATTCATACATAAGACCCATACACGATCTATGGGTTCATCTTCCATAAACAACCTTAGGGATTCAAGTCATAAAGAGAGAAATAAAATACAAAACCGGGGGGGGGGGGGGGGGGGGGGGTTGGAGTGTTGGTAACCATCTTCTTCTCTTTCGATCGCACCTTCTCCTTACTCATTGGGTGGATTGGATCTTCCTATAACCTCTCCTAAGGTATTTCTCTCTCTAAAATTACCCAAATATCCTTATTTTCTCTCTCAAAGTCGGCTCTTCTTTGTTAAGTGTAAAAAAATGGGTATTTATAGTGTCCTGGCACTGATTATAGCCTCGAGGGTGTGACCAGCCTAAAACGACATCGAATCTCTAAAAAATTTACGTTTTGACATAATCTTTAAGTTCTAAGATCGCGACCTCCATCGTGAGATCATGGTCGTGATCTTTTTTGTCAAATAAGGGCCACATAACACATATTTTAGGTGTTATCAATTGATTTTCATTGGAACCGGAGAATTTAAAAATCTTAAGCCCTTAATTTGCTAGAAAATGAGAGTATGAGTGCCAACTTGAGCGTGATCGTATAGAAATGTTCATCATGTATGCAAACCATTCTCACCGCCATTAAGCAACTTCATCTTGCGGTAGTTCATCAACACGAAAATCAGTGAGATGTAACAAGGAAGACGACCACAAGCACATGATGCAAGATTATTTCATCCCAAATTCAACCTACAACACTATGGCCTTCACAAGGCGGTATCGGATGCCCCTTACCTTTTCAACAAAGTCATGAATCATGTGTTTCGGTATGATGCCTACCTCAAGCAAGGGAAAGATGTTGCAGGTCGTGGCTCATTATCACCACACCAAAAGCTTACTTGTGGTTTTTGTATGTTTGCATATGGATACTCGACAAACTCTTTGGATGAGTCATGTTGAATGGGTGAGAATGAGATCACCATACTCGAGTGTCCGTTGTTTGTATACTCATTTGTGATTTGTTGGTATATAAGATTTTACATTTTAGATCTTTTATCTTAATTTTGAATTTTCTGGACACTTATTACAAATTTTTGTAACTTACAATTTAATATCCAAATTTATTTTTTCTTATAATTTAATATCTAAACTTTTAAAATTTTACAAAAAGGTCCAAAAATTTTGGTGGTAACATTTTGTTTTGGTACCTTTATACGTTTTGCCTCACATTATAGTACCTTAACATTTAAAATTTTACAAATAAATCTAATCTTATGTTAGGAGGAATTTCAAATCACTAGTTGGTCAAATGTATTTGAAGTTGACAAGTGATTCACTAGACCTGATTCCTTGGCAACAACGGGGGGTCTTCTTCGAGATAGCTCAGGTAGATGCCTGGGAGCGTTTGCATCCAACCTGGGCGCTTGCACAATTACGTGAGCTGATGGGGGCGGTACAAGGACTTAAACTCGCATGACAGCTAGGCTACCGGAAAGTTCAACTGCGGACGACTCCACGACTGCAACCACCTTAATGACTTCTCATACGACATACGAAGGGCGGTACCATAGTTTTTGGACTCAACTGCAGCAACTCATCCAACAAGACTGGGAGATTGAGATCTCTCATACTTTTCGAGAAGGTAACAAGTCAGCCGATTACCTTGCAAACAAAGGGCATTCTCTTAGTCTAGGTTATCATGTTATTGAGAGAGGTGACCCGGGCCTCAACTTTTGGATTTTGTATGACTCTATGGGCAATGCCAAATCTCGATTAATTTAAGTATCAGGCAGGGGCGCTCTTTTAGCGTCCCACTTTTCTACCAAAAAAAAAGAAAATCATTTCATAAATTTAGCACAAATTCAAATTTTAAACGTAATTATTATCCAAACCAAGGTTGTCAACCCGCGAGTTGACCCGGACCCGGTCGAGCTAGTGGGTCAAGGGTTAATGGGTCACCCGGTTTAGCCCGGAAATATGAAAAGAGTCATTATATTATACTTATCCTGATAAATTATATCAAATTTCATCTAACATATGAGTTATAACATATAATATAACACCAAAATAACATGTCGTACTTAGATCCTACATATAGTGAAAATTCACACACTTATATAACATCAATGTTCAAATGTTAAACTTAGGATTCCAAAGATTGAGTTAGGCGAAAAGAAAAATCTAGAAAATAGACGCATTTCGCAAACCAAAGTAAAAAATGACACAATTTGACATCCAACTCGGTACCTTGTAGCGTCGACGCGGCGGGTACGTGCTGCCCATTTTTCTCACCAAACCAGGGTCAAAATGGGTCGACCTGCGAGTGCGGGTTGGCAACCTTGACCCAAACAAATAATTTGACATTTATAAATCCAAATCACAAATCACAAATACCAAATCCAAATTCTTCTATCATATCCAATATCATATCCAAACACACACCGTTAACGAATTTGGGACTAACAATGAAATAAGGGAACAACGTGAGTAACCACTGATCCAATGAAACAAACAAACAAACAAACGCGAAACAAACGAATAACTCAGAATGACCAAATGTGTCATTTAACCCAAAATGATCAGCACCTATGAAAGATGGAACATGGACAATAGTCTCAATCGGCGAACAGACCCGGTGCATCAATAGTGTCCATCCACACTCCACAGCAACTCCTAATCCTAGCAAAACCTGTGGAACTGCTTATTCACATTTCCTTCAAGTGCCCATCCATGAGACTGGAAAAGAGATGATAACCAAAATAAAGTTTTTGGAAGAATGTGCAAACGAATTTTGAAACAACTTTTCGTCACTGAAGAGATTGATCAAGGCTTGAGAGCAAGTGCTATGCCGAGCTTGGGATGTTTGTCCAAGGCCTTGGTGTCGATTTCCCCAGAGATGGTCATCAGTGACTTTGGTATCACTTCATGCTGCAGAAGAGCTGCAAGTTTCCCATGGTTGTTCAGCTTTCCCTTTATTAGTGTCAAATGGTCAATGGCATGTGAGCCACCAACCGTAAAAGTATTCTCATTGGTTGAAAACCTTCTCATGATCTCCCCCACAGCTGCACTTCTCTTCGACTCGTCCAGAAAATGAGCATATGAAGCAGTGATGGTGTCACCCTTGTCACCCCTATGACAAAGATACACAGCCAGTGAGTACCAAGGGTATAAAATAGTTTTTGAATATGCAACAGATGGTTAAAGGGCTTACAAAATAACTGAAGCATAGGCATCTGGCTTTGTTATGCTAATCCCAGCAGTGTACTTGGTGAAACTACCAGAAGTAGTATTGTATCCCGTTTCAGCGCCGAAGGCAATGGCTGGGGTACCAACAGTGACTGAAGCATCGACTACTGGAGACTGTTGGTGCAGGGCAACAGTAGAGGTAAAGGTTGCGTGGTGATGGAAATATTGAACCTCCAACTGCAAGAACAGTGGAAAAGATTAATTACAATGGTAGGCAAACCAAAGCATTTGGGTCTCATTTTTCGGTTCTCCTGATGTTATGCGTCCACTTTCCTCACAATTTCGCAGACATTAATTTCCACTTAATCAATTCGACTCCTACCTTGCCAGAGTTATAATCAGGCAACTTAAATGAAACAACTGCCTTTGTTGATGGAAGGACGTCACTGAACGTGAGGTTGGTTGCAATCTGTAGAAAATGGGGGAAAAAGAACAGGTTATGCTTAGACGAGCAAGAAGTAAAGAGCATCCTTTTGCTGTCTTTAAATAAACAAAAGCACATACATTAGATAGTGTATCAATTTTCACATCAAATATGTGGCTCTTGTACTTGTAAACGGCACCAATATCACTCGTGGACAGTCCACCCTTGTTAACAGCTGTTGAAGTGAGAGCCTGAGAAACAGAAAGAAACACAATAAAAATAGAGACCTAATGTTGGACGAGGAAATACAAGATTAACATTTGAGTGCATAATTTTCTTGTCAAGTTCATTGGAACGAATTAGATTAGAAACAAAACAGAGATAACATTTAGGCTTGAACAGCAAGAGCTAACATCCGGTTAGGACTGAACGACAAAGGCAAGGCAGTGTTAAAATCAAGGTATGGTAACAGATAATTTGATTCCAGCACGTTAACGGAACTCCAGGGAAATAAAAAAAATGGGGGAAAAAATCCCAGCTGAAATGAATCAAAATTCACGCTAGATAAATGCGACATGTTTTACATTCTAGCATTTTATGCTGAGAAACTTTGTGTTCAAGTTCCTCAAATTAAATCTCAGAACCCAATTGAAGCTATTCGCGGCAGACATTGAGATCAGGTTGATCACGAACAGTCAAAGAGAAGTAAATAAGAAAAACACTAAGAATCTCGATCGGCAAACTTGTGAATGGAGCTTAAACAGAAAAAGAAAACTCGTGAATGGAGTTCTGAACAAGAAGTCTTAATAATCCCCACAATGTATCATTTCCATTTCTGCTGCACCATATATAGCCAAATCGCAACACTACAAAATGTATGATAACTGAACAAGACTAATACTGAAAGATTGTCGATGCAACCCTCGCCACTGTATTCAGAAAAGGGAAATGAAAAGGTAGTAAGAGGTAAGGGAACTTCAAGCTAAACTTCTAAGGAGAAATGATAGAGAACTTTAGATGTACAGGGATAATTGGATACGCCAATTCAGAGGGATTTGTGCACAAAGTGACTGCTTATTTTCCATAGACAGACACAGATCGCATGAAAGACGATAGAGACCATTAGAGGCCTGCTCAGCAAACAAAATTTTGCACAAGTGCAATCCAGAGCAAGCGGTTTTCAAGCATGCTGCAATCGATACATAGAATTCGAGATTAACACTATACATTGCACCTTCTGTTGAGAGAGTTCTATTTTCATTAGCGATCATGAATGAATCCGAAAATCTAATCCTGAACTGGCGTAGCGAAATTCAACTACACAATCACAATTCACAAGCCGCCAGCATCTAGACCAGAGTGACAAGAAAACGAGCAAGGACGAGGATTAACATACAATTCCGGCGGGGCCACTGTACGTGGAGACGGTGAATTTCTGATCGGAGCTGTATCCCGCCGTCAAGAGATCTGTAATTTCAAATACAAACATGGATTAAGACCTGAAAAGAATGAGAACATGGAATTCTTCGGTGAAATCACTGTAGAAATGGAGATTGAGAGGACGGGAGTTACCTCTGGCCTTCTTTCCGATATTGGAGAAGATTTCCGGTCCCTTACTCATGGTGGCGAGAGAGAGAGAGAAAGGAGAGGGAAGCCGAGAAAGCGATCGACGGAGGAAAGAGTCGGGGAGAAAGGAACAGATAGGAGAGACAAGCTGAGAGAGGAGAATTGAGGATGGTGTGGTGGTGGTGAACAATAGAGTTTGGAATTTGGAAAGCAAACAAAGTAAAGGGCTAAATTACACGTTTGGTCATTCAAATTATATAAATCTTTCACGTTTGCCATCCGAATTACTTTTCTTTCTTATTAGCCACCAACTTTACGATTTGTTTTATCATTAGTCACCGGCCGTTAGTCTCCGTTAGAATCCGTTAACGCCGTCAAGTTTTTGATGACGTGGCAAACAGAAGTGTTGACTGGACCGTTAACTTAATTATATTTCAATTAAAAAATACAAAAAGACAAAAAGAGGCAGAGGAGTGGCCCCTTCCCCTCCCTCATCTTCTTCGGCTCTCCATCTTCATCCAAAACAACAGAGCATCAACTCCTCCTCCATATCAAACAAAGCTAAGAAGATCCAAGGTGTGAAGAAGGTGGAAGGTAGGGGTGAAACCAATACTTCCTCCCTCTAAGATTCTTCTTTCTAAAGCTACATCACCTACGACAACCGCCATTCGATTCGTCGCCATTCAATTTTCTCTTCTCCTGCCTCCTCCAATTCGTCCGCCCGACCAATTTGGCCTTGGTCACGTCCAACCCCGGCCAGTACACGCTAGTCTGTGAGCAGAACCCGATGATGTCGGATTCAGAGAGAGGAGCTCCGGCGGTTTCGAAGGCGTCGTGGATTTTCTGCTCGTCGCGATTGAGGACGAGGAGGGAGCCGGGGGCGACGGCGGCAACAGGAAGAGGAAGCTCTGATCGGCGCATTGGATCTCCGTCAAATCTGGCTAACGAGGTGCGCACGGAGGTTGCCGTCGCGCTTCCAGATCTTGGATTTATCGGAAAGCGTGATGCGGCCGACGAAGGGGATGACGGAGCTCTCGAAGTCAAAGGCGGAGTGCCGCCACCAGACGAGCGACCCTCCGGTGCCATTTCGCCCAGGCGGAGTGTAGAAATCTATATAGACTGATTTCTATTGAACGGATAGTTTCTCTCTTCATTTGATTACAGGAGAATCATGTTACATTTATACATGATCTGTGAAGGGAAATGAAAAGAACAAATTGAAGATGGCAGCTAGCACATGGACACAAAGATAAGGAGATGGGGAGAATTAAAGAGGAAGATGGGTGTGCTCTGTTCTTTTGTTCTGGGTGAAGATGGGAAGACGAAGAAGATGAGGGAGGGGAAAAGGCCACTCCTCTGCCTCTTTTTGTCTTTTTATTTTTTAATTGAAATATAATTAAGTTAACGGTCTAGTCAGCACTTTCGTTTGCCACGTCATCAAAAACTTGACGGCGTTAACGGACTCTAACGGAGACTAACGGCTGGTGACTATTGATGAAATAAATCGTAAAGTTAGTGGCTAATAAGAAAGAAAAGTAATTCGGGTGGCAAACGTGAAAGATTTATGTAATTTGAGTGACCAAACGTGTAATTTAGCCCAAAGTAAAGCAACTAATTTCTATTCTAGGCTAAAATACTTTGGGTCTCACTTAAATTTGAGAATTTGGGTAGACATATCATTTAAGTTTGAATATAGATAAATTGCAAGTTTGGTCATTGGAATTATTAGAAAGTTTTGTATTTGCTACTCAAATTAGTTTATTCCATTAATGGTCACTAAAATTAGTTCAACAGTTCAAGTTTGGTCACTCTCCGTTAGTCTCCGTTAACTTTTGCTGATGTGAAAGTAAACCCTTTTAGTTGACCGTTAAACGAATGACGTGACAAATAAAAAATAATTAAAAAAAGAAAGTAATCTTCTACCATTTTCACCTCATTATAACAATAAATAAAACATAAAATTATAAATTATTATAATCAACAAAAGGGAAATCACCATCGCCTTCCTCTGCGAGACCCTGAGCCCTTTCTATAGCGCCCTGCGTTAAATCCTGAATACTAACTCCTCTGACAGCAGCCCTAACAAGGTGTTTTTGCTTAGCTTGAGCTCGGCTCGTTTATAAATTTTTTAGCTCGAGCTCGGCTCGAACTCGAATTTTGATCATCCAGATCGAGCTCGAGCTCGACTCGATTAAAAATAATCCAGCTCGAGCTCGGCTCGATAGAGCTCGGTAAATGCTCATTAACACAGCTTGTCAAGCTAAGTACAAGCTCGGCTCAAAATAAGCTCGATTTGAAACCATTCTTGCTGAAAAATGTGTACAAATAAGAACATTAGAAATTAAAAATGATAAAAAGAACACTAGAAACTAAAAATAACATCTAACTTCCATACAAATCCTTATTAACAAGATAATTTTCATGTTTAGAAGAGTAATTAATCCTTCCACAAGCTTTAAACAAGCCAGCTCGCGAGCTTAACTCAACAAGCCATCGAGTCAAGCTAGCTCACGAGCTTATCAAGCCGAGCATGGCCTAGCTCAAGCTTGGCTCGTTTACTAACGAGTCGGCTCGCGAGCCGGCTTGTTAAACAACGAGTCGAGTGTCGAACGAGTTTTTTTCGATTCGAACGCCGAGTTGCTCGCGAGCGGCTTGGCTCATTTGCAGCCCTACTTGTAGTGGTCGGTTCCCGAGTCCAAGGCGGGGTCGATGCTGCAAAACTATTCAATTAGGGGAGCGATGATTCTCTCGGTCGATTGAGAATTGACGGCGCTCTGTTCTTACTGACCCCGGTCGATGAGACCTGGACGACAATACGCGGAGAGAGCGATTTAGGGCACCGCGGGAGAGACGATCAGATGGAGAGATGGATAGTTAGTACGACGCTCGGGACGTCGCCGGAGAAATCTCTGTTGGGGAAGTGTTTCTGCGATTTCGGGTGGGGAAGCTGGGGAATGTCGCTGATTACTTGCCGTGGGGGATCCATATGACGAAACTCTATTTCACTCGCTTTGCAGAGCTACTAGTACACAAACGGGACTAGATACTATAACAACACTCCTTTTGTTGTTATTGTAACAACACTAGTCTCCAACCAATAGGAGGCTAGGGTTGTGATGACTTTTTATTAGTTGAGTTGACCTAGTGTAAAATCAAAGCAGGGGTATAATTGTCATTATGAAAAATAATTAAAAAAAAATTAAATAAATAAAAAATATTTTTTTATTTTCTGTAAAAAAATTTGGTCGCCGGAATTTGGTCGCCGGTCACCGGAATATGCTTTTCGCCGCCGGAATATGCTAGTTTCTCATCGAAATATGCCAACGTCGCCGGAATATGCTTACCGGAGTCGGAATATGCTTACCGGCGTCGGAATCTAGTCATCGGGGCCGGAATATGCCTATCGGCGTCGGAATCTGCTCACTGACGGTCATCGGAGTTTGGTCAAAGAACTTCGTTGACCGATCAACGGTCAACGACCACCGGATGCTATGGTCTGCATTGTGAGATTTATGGTTTGGTTTCTCACATTTTTGTATGCCTTTTGTGGTTTGCTTTATCGCGTTTGTGGTTTGCATTGACAAGTTTCTGGTTTGCTTTATCGTGTTTGTGGTTTGCATTGAGAACTTTCTGGTTTGCTTTCAAAAATTTTGTGGTTTGCATTGAGGGGTTTGTGGTTTGTTTTAGGAGATTTGTGGTATGCATTAGGAGGTTTCTGGTTTGTTTTTGTGGTTTGCTTTAACGTGTTTGTGGTTTGCATTATGAGGTTTCTGGTGTGTTTTTAAAAATTCTGTGGTTTGCTTTGTGAGGTTTCTGGTTTGTTTTAATATATATTTGGTTTGTATTAGGACGTTTCTGGTTTGTTTTTGTGGTTTGCTTTATCGTGTTTGTGGTTTGCGTTATGAGTTTTCTAGTGTGTTTTTGAAAATTCTATGGTTTGCTTTGTGAGGTTTCTGATTTGTTTTAATAGATTTTTGGTCTGCATTAAGATGTTTCTGGTTTGTTTTTGTGGTTTGCTTTATTGTATTTCTGGTTTGCATTATGAAAAGAAACCTGAAAATGAATACCATTATCAACAAAAAAAAAAAACATATATAACCATGTTCTGATTTGGGACTTCTTCCTGTTTGTTCCCAAATCCCATCGAAGGAATCCGGCTTGCTTTTCTTATGGATACAGTCTACCCGTCTTACATAAGTCACAGCTTGAACGTGTCACAAACCAAAATCCATGGCTGCGCCTGTCATTGCTCTTCGAGATGCCTTACGTTGTGGACGGTGAAGGCTACTTCGAGATGACTTGCCCTCACATCTCCAACACTAGGAAGGAGAAGATCTTCCCCACCAGATCCAGCTTCCCCACCATATCAATGAAATAATTTTACAATCCAACTCCCTTCCGCATGTACGTACGGGACCAGCTTCTTTAGGGTACCAACAATACCAATTGCTGCTCTTAACCCCTCCAGGTGGATACCAAAAAATCAATAACAATGACAATTGAGATAAAAATACCCAATTATTGCTCAAAGAACAGTGGAGTGGGGTGGCATTAAATATTTAACTCACGCAAATCCTACTCTTAATCACTAATCACCGCTACGGAGCTTTGTTTATCCCTTCCTAGTCACTCCATTTTCTCCAAAAAAAAAACAATGCAGAAACAGAATTTAACATTCGAGCCCCCTCCCTCCTCTCCATTTCGCCACCGTAGAAAAGCCGAGGGAAACTAAACACAAGCCCGGTGGCCACCGTCCCTGCAAACACAATCCCTCCGCTAAACATCAAGATCCGATTCAATTCAAAAATCAATTCACGCAAGATTCAATTGAATCGGAAGATATAGAGGGGGAGGAATATAGAGATTTGAATCACAAACTCACAATTGCGAGCCTCTAGAGACGATCTCAAAATATGGGCTCGTCTTGGAGCTATCGTAAGATCGGCGACACCTCGTAATCTCCGATTTCTTTAGCGACGACGTTCTTCCTCGCCTTCACGACCTCAAACGCATGGTGACAGAAGAAGCAGGGGCAGGGGCGGCGGAGGAAGAAGCATGGCGGAGTAGAAGCGCTGCCACTGCGGGGGTGATCGGAAGGCAGGCCGTCGGAGATGCTCTCCCGACGCCCAGCTGTCGCAGCTGTTTCAGGGAGCTGAGTCGTCGGATGAAAGGAAGAAGGCAAAATGAGATCTGGATGTGATGGGACGGAGAAAAAATAGTTTTTGATTTTTGATTTTAATTGTGTTTGGT